TCGTCCATCTTTTTCCCACATGGCTACCCATCTTCCACACCTAAGTTTTCATCTGTGTGCTGTTCTGATTAAGATATGAAAAACCCCTTCAAAGACTCGCTTGTTAAAGGTTTAATTCCCAGGTGATGGATGGGCTTTTAGGAAGTGCTAAGCTCATGAGGGCGCTGACTTAGAAATTTATCACTTGATGGATTCATAATATGACAACATCACTGAGATGTGGTGGAAGCCTCCCAACAGAGCTTTATTGGAGGAAGTTGGCTACTGGGCTGTGTCCTCGATGGCTCTAGCTTATCCTGGGCTCCTCCTGCTTCTGTTTGCTCTCTGGCTTCCATGTGTGAACGGCCTCTTCGTGTGCGCATTGCCCTCACAGGCTACGACTTCTGAAATTTCATGGTAAAAACCAACTTTTCCTCCTTGAAATTGTTTCCCTCAGGTGTCTGTCACAGTGATGAAAAGTGACACATGCATGTCCATCATTTTCAGGGAGTGAGTCTGTTGATAAAATAAACACTATGTCTACAGCCATATCAGCCTGAACAAGCCCGATCTCATCTGGTACAGTAGACACTTAGCAAGTTATATTTTCATACTGTTGCCTATATTAAAATTGTTTTTCTGATATATTCTGCTTTCAGTCATTTTATTATCAATTTGCAGAAATGCAGTGTGTTTTGGGTCTATGGTATTAGTTGTAAATATTATTCTAGCTTGTTCTTTGTCATTTGGCATGAAATGTTTGACATACAGATTACTTGCTGTTTTATTGGCTTTTTAATTCAGTGATGTTTATCACATTTTTCATTCCCTCAGAGCCTCCATACTTGCCTCCATTCCTTCTTAATCCAAAAGGTGAAGAAAGACTGATTCTTTGCATTCGCGTTTGAAATGAATATGCTCCCATGTCTTTGTGGATGTAAGATGAAATTGCTGTGTCACTGAGATGCTCCAGCCCTGTCCGCTTTAAAGGTGATGGTTTCCTGAGAGTAATTTCCCAATGTCTTCTCTAGAGAATAGCTTCTCACAGCAGCTGTTCATTTACACAGCATAGACATCTTTTTGTGTCACTAAGCTCTCTAGATGAACCAGAACTACCATGACCATGTTCCTTATCTGACAGTGAGAATCACACCAGCCAAACTATACAAACCTTTGGCAACAGGAAAATGGAGTCTCTGCTGCTTAAAAAAAAGGACTTGGAGTAGCTGGTAGTATTGATGTTTTAGCATGATGCCTTGGTTAGGGTTTCTATTGATGTGAAGAGATATTATGACCTTGGCAATTCTTATAAAGGAAAATACTTAATTGGAACTGGTTCAGGTTACAGGTTCAGAGGGTCAGTCCATTATTGTCATGGAGGGAAGCATGGCATCACACAGGCAGACAAGGTACTGGAGAGGCAGCTCAGAGTTCTACATCTGGATCTACAGGAAGCAGTAAAAGAGAGAGAGAGACACTGGGCTTGGCTTGAGCATCTGAAACCTCAAAGCCCACCTCCAGTGACATACTCCCTCCAACAAAGCCACACCTATGCCTATAAGACCACATTTCCTAATACTGTCACGCCCTGTGGGCCTAAGGGGGACAGTTTCATTCAAACAACCGCACCTGATTTCTGGGCCAGTTGCTAAAGGGAAGCAACTGGGATGCTAGACGGAATATCAGATAAAAGACCTGGATCATTCAATTCAATTCACATTACCCATCTTCTGTTGTGCTTCGCTTGGTTATGCCTACAGAGAAAGGCATATTAGTCTCTTCAGCTCATAAGGAACTCACAGTCTAAGGTGACTATGCTAGCCACAACATCATCCAAAGCCACATCATTTGTATATGCCCAGCTGCCTCCCAGACATCTCTGCAAAACCACTTTACATCAGTACCTTTGTTCCCACCCCATTCCTGCCCCAACATATGCTAATGTGACTTTGTGGTTATTCTATTTTGGGACTTCCGTTTCTGAATCTTGACATTGGTCTAGATTCCTTCCATGCCTTCACTCAGAGAGGCTAACACCTCACTACATGCTTTCCATTCTTTTTTGTAATCTTTGTCCCTCAGACATTTTATCACATTGAGGATTATTTAACTCCTGTCCTAGGCAACATCATTTTGTGCATGACGTTCAATATTCAGCATTCATCCAGCATTCATCTTTCCACAACCCAGATCATTTTCCCCAATTAATTTCATTAAGTGATTATCCAATTTAAAGGTTTCATGGTGCCCAGTGGTATAGTGAATAAAAGTCAAACTCTGAAATCTCACATTTGGTGAATCCTTTAGCAATTGCAATGAATGTCCCTCACCTTGCCCAAGTGCCACCAGACTGCCATTTATTGCTGACAGAAATGTTTCTTCTTTATATTTTCCCAATCAAACCATCTTCCCCTTCCCCCAAAAATCATTAAGATCTCCAAGTTCTCATTGTCTCTGGGTTCAAATGCAAAACCCATCTACTGTGGAACCTTGAAAAGTTACTTTAGTCCTAGATGTTCGTTTCTGAATTCCTGTGTCACTCATCCTGTGCTATCAATCAATACTTGAACACATTTGGAAGGACTGCATTAAAAAATAGCACAAATTGCCTGGCTTAACCAACAGAAAGGTATCTTCTCACAGTCTGGAAGTTCAAACTCTGAGGCCAAGGAGCCCGACGTGTTATGGGATAATAATTTTGTACACTGTAAAGATGTGTCTCTGCCAAGACACATTCTGATTGGTTTAATAAAGATCAGAATGATGAATAGTTAAGTAGGGAAGGATAGGCAAGATTTCTGGGGGGAGAGAGGAGACGAATCTAGAAGCCGATGAGACCAGACCAAGTCGCACATCAGAATGTAGATTAATAGAAGCAGGTTAATTTAAGTTATAAGAGCTAGATGGGGGCCGGGTGGTGGTGGAGCACGCCTTTAATCCCAGCACTCAGGAGGCAGAGGCAGGTGGATCTCTGTGAGTTCGAGGCCGGGCTGGACTGATAGCCTCCAAAACAATACAGAGAAACCCTGTCTCGTGAAAACCAAAAAAAAAAAAAAAAAAAAAAAAAAAAAAGAGCTAGATGGGGACAAGCCTAAACTAAAGACCAAGCTTTCATAAGAAGTCTCCATGTCATTATTTGGGAGCTGGTGGTCCAAAGATAGTCTAACAAGAAAGCTTGCTACACTGAAGTGTTGCTTCCTTCTTAGGACTGCAAGGAACAATCTTTTCTGTACCTCTCCTGGTGGCTCACAGTTGGGGGCAGTGATGATGTCATCCAGGGTTGTAGGAATGGATTCCTTTACACACACACACACACACACCTGTAAAACACTTAAAGATACAATTCCCAAGTGGGAAGGGGATCTGGACCCAGAAACTAGGGTTAGTCTTGATTTCCTGCAATCAAGCTTTTGTTTATGAAGCAGAAATAGCAATTAGGCAATTACAAAAATTAACCATTAACAGCACATAACATTTGGAAGTCCAATTTTGCTTTATTGTTCTCTTAAGTACAGAAAAATTAAACCTTTAAACACAGTTAGCCATCAATGTAACCTTAGCCACCACACCCCCAGTGACAAAGCTCCTCCAACAAGACCACGCCTTCTATCTTTCCCAAACAGTTTCACCAGCTAGGGACCACATTATTCAAATATATGAGCCTATGGGGGCTGTCCTCATTGGAATTACCACAACATCCAGACCAGCTCTAAGTACAGCACCTGGTTTCAGTGAAACAGCTTTCACCCTTACATTTCGCTTTCTGCCTCCAGCAATCACGACCCCCTCCCCACTCCAGGTCAATCTCATTGGAGTATATCCAGACTCCTGTTCGAGGTGATGTTACAAGCCCCAGACAGCAGGTTCTCTTTCTGTTGTGAGGGGATTTCTTTTTCTGCGCCCTCCACGGGCATGCAGTTTGCGTAAAGCTCTAGGATTTGTGTGGGAAGCAACAGCATTTTGCTTTGCTTCCTCTTCCTTCACTTTTTGTGAGCCAGGATCCCTGACCTCAGACCTTGGAGATCTGCAGTGAACCTCACTCTGGGTTATCAAAGTCACTTGCAACAAAGCTTAACTGTGCCTTTCAATCCCATTTACCCTTTTGGATTTCTTCATTCAGTTTTGTTCTTACATTCTGCAATTGGTGTGTGTTTGGGGTAAGGGAAGTCAACAATTCTTGATAGATATTGTATAGTCATTTTCTGATATTTATGGCTGTTTTTCCAAAAAAAGGGTATTTGTTCTTTTCTTTTTATAAAAAAGTAAAAATATGCTAACTTGAATATTTGTAAGATGGTCTTAGAAATTAGAATTCAATTAATTAGTTCCTCAGGAATTCCATTTAAAAACGGACAAAGCACACAAAATGGAGATGTGAAAGCAATGAATGAATGGATGTGTACAAAGCGATCCACTTCCCGCCACATATTTACATGCTCTGCGATGGCAAAGTACACGTTCAGAGGACAGCGGGCTTGGTGCGGACTATAAGTAGAAAAACAAACAAACATACAAGCAAGCAGCTCTTAACTATCTAAAAAGTTTTTAGAGGAGTGATGGACTTTGGGGATTTGACCGTGGTCTTTCCATTTGTGAGTAGGCTATTATAAACTATTTCAACTTACCATTTACAAATACAGAGGTAGAAGCTAGGGAAATATAGCTGCATAAAATAATCCTGGACTCAACTGGAGGCAGCAGGTGGGCACATTAAGTATGTTTTGATGGTCGGATTCTACTTTGGGGGTTTACATGGTTGTGGACAAGGACCGTATCGGCTAGTGGCCAGAAGAAGCTGCAAGGACAGTAATGTCCAGGAGGAATATTGGGTGGTCAGCAAGAGTTCTCCCGTGAAACTGAGACAGGAGGGACCCAGGCTGGGAGGCAGGTATTGCGGGACACAGCAGATGGTTGCAGCCAGCGGCCAGCTGACAAGTCCTCGGGCACCGCCGAGGTTCGGGGTTTCCGCCAGGGGGCGCCGTGGCCCCGCCTCGACCGGGCCGTTACGTTTCCGGGCACCAAGGCCGGGAGCCGCCATCACCGGCCGGCGCGCGCCGCCCCTGTGGGCCGCTCCGGTTACCGGGGCAACCGCGGCGCTTCCTCCTTGTGGGCCGCGACCGTCGCTCCGCGCCATTTTCAAACTGCGCTCGTGCGGGAGCCATTGGGCGCAGCGGGACGGGCCAGCGAGGACGCCGGGTCCCCAGGGCGATGCGCGGCGCGGGGGAGCGGCGGCGGGAACGGCGGTGAGGCTCGCCCGGGGCAGGCCGCGGGGAACGGGGGGTGCGAGCGGGGTCGCGGGGCCTCCGGGGCGGTCCCCCGAGGCAGGCCCGGGCGCTGCCGGGAGGAAGTGGGGGAGGGCGGCGCGGGGATCGACCCACCGTCCGACCGTGCGGCAGCTTGGCCGAGCGGCTCGCTGGGTTGACATGAAAATGCCCTGTCCGGGAGGATGGTGGCTCCACCTTCCCGGCTGAGTCCCGGAAGGACGGCGACGCCGCCCCGGCCCACCCGCCGTGTGGTGTCCGCGCTGCGGGGTTTGGTTTTTAAACCCTTCTGCATCCACACGGTGGATGTTTCTGTAGAAAGTAAGAGGTGACCTCAGTAAGACACCCACGGCCCGGGGTTTAGTAGACAGCTAGTTCTAAACGCTGAACCTGACCTTTTATGTTGTTTTGACGCTAAAAAGTTGTCATCCGGAATATAGGGGAAACCTAACACGTATATATTTCTGTTTTTCCTGGGAGGGGCTTTACTTCGTATTCTCATTCTGTCTTCTTCCTCTTGAAGGATCGAGAGGGATGGTTTGGGGTACCCGGAGTTGGCAGCTGTCAGAGGGGAAATGTTTCTTGACGTTTGCCTTGTAAGTCTAGCTTGTCAGGTGCTTTTCTTGTGACCACAGCATCCATCAGCCCCCTTGTGGAAGGAACTAGAAAGTTCCCAGGGGGAGCCTCTCATAAAGGCTAGATATGTAAACGGGTGTACTCTAGAAGAGGCCCTACTTTAGAAATATCCGTGTGGACTGGGAAGTTACTTTCTTAGGACAGCCTTTCTTCACTTCGTGCTTAAATAGGAAGGATGCCATTGGTCCTTTATCCCATACCGGAAGTTAGGAGCATCAGGTTTTGCTTGTATTCATTTAAATTTAACGTTAACAAAGAACATACTTATTTGTTTTAGAAATATGAGTTCTATAGCTACGTTTATTTGGCAAAGGTTAGAAAGGAGCGTGTTTCTAAAGACATTATCTTTTCATTCCTCAATTTTAGGGTAGATTGGTGGAGAAAATCGTCGTAGTTCTTTTAAAAGACGGTGTAACCCTGTCTTGAAAAGCAAAGACAAGTAGAGTAGCTGGTGTAGCCTAGTAGCAGAGTGCTTACTCTGGGTTTGATTCCCCAGCACTGCAAACAAACAAGCTAGACAAGTATAAAAATGTATACAGAGGTGCTTGTATGTGTGAGTTACTTCAAAAAATGGTAAACATGGGCATGGTGGTGTATGTAATCCGAGCACTCCAAAGGTAGGGACACAGGAAAAGGTTGAGACCACCTGATCTACAAAGTGAGTTCCAGGCCAGTCAGGACTTCTCATAATGAGAGTCGGTTTCAAACTTAAAAAGTACAAAGATCAGAGTGAAATGTGTGTGGTGAAATGCACAGACCTTGAGTGTGAATGCACATTTGAAAGTTTTCCATTAATGTCTGCGCCTGGGTGACTTACCCTAGTCAATGCTTTTATCACTCCGAGAAGAAAGCTATCCTTTCCAGTCGCTCTCCTCCCTGTGAAACTGTTGCTAGCCCCACGGTTAAATTTTTACCTGTTTCTGAGCTTTTCATGAATGAAGTCACTTAGTATATGTGTGTGGCTTCTTCTGCCTGAATAGTATTTTGAGAGTCATCCCTATTGTTAGTCTGTAGTGACAGCTTCTTGCCTCCTAGCTGAGTCATACTGTCTGGTATAAAGTACCATAACTTCATGTCTTTTCCAGTTTGGTACAGTTGTGAGTTTACTGCTGTAAACACTGTTGTAGTCTCCCCGTTGACATTTATGTTCACTTTTTTTGTAAATATGCAGGAATAGAATTACAGCTTTACAGGCTTAGGAGTGTGTTAGTGCTGTAAGAAACTGCCAGACTTGTTCCAGTGTGGTTTTATACTCTCTCAGCCTTATGTGGATTTCATTTGCGGGGAGCCTTTGCTGACATTAGGTATTGTCAGTCCTTTCCCTCATTCTGACATAGGCAAAGTTACACTTCATTGTGGTTATAATTTGTGTTTTCTTGAAACCAATGTTTAAGCATCTTTTCATGTATTTCTCGAGATATCTTTTGCAAGATATCTTTTCAAGTTTTTTTATAACTAAAGTTCAGTTTTAGCACAATTTGGGAGGTAATTTGAGATCAGGTCTTGCTATGTATCCCTGGCTGGCCTAGGACTTACTATGTATACCAGGCTGCTCTTAAATTGAGGCCAGTCTCCCCATGTCTGCCTCCTAAATGCTGGGAGTACAAGTATGTGCCTTCATGTCGGGCCTACCCCTGATTTTCTTATTGTATTGTTTTATTATTATTAAGCTCCAAGAGTTTGTTTTCTGTCCTGCTTGTGAATACTTTCTTAGCTCTTATGACTATTTTTCAGCAAGCTTTGATTTTCATGTTTTCTTTCCCCTTTCCTCTTCCTTGGTGTTACCAGAGATCAAACCCAGGGCTTCACAATACTAGGCAAGAACTACCATTAAGCCACATCCCAGCTGTGACCTTTTATTTTCCTTAAGGGAGTGTTTTGATGAGTTACTGTTTTTCACTTATCATATTTTTGTTTTATGCTTATTGCTGTTAACAATTCCTGGGGGTTTGGGCACAGCCCAGCATAGGGCATTTGCCTAGCATGAGCAAGATGCCTGCATGCCATCCATATGTAAGAAAGTGGAGTTTCCTTCAAGGCTCCTCTGTCTGCCTCTGGGAAATCTTTGTTTTCTTCTAGAGTTTTCATTGTTTTAACTTTTGCATTTGGGTTTGTTAAGAAATGCAAATTTAATGTAGTAACATAGAGATCATATGTATTGGATTTAAATCAATATTAATATTATAGAATAATGACTAAACAAAGTCATTCTTTCATATTAAAGGAATTTCTTACTGTGAAACTTTAACAGCAATGTTTCAGTCCTCTCTTTCAGGGCTTTAATTTTGGAGTGTGAATAAAACTGGTTTTGGAAGACAAGATGACTACAGCTGCAGAGAGGAAGTATATTAACATTAGGAAAAGGTTAGACCAGTTGGGTTACCGCCAGACGCTGACGGTGGAGAGTCTGCCTTTGGTAGAAAAACTTTTCAGGTAAAGATAACAATACAGTTATAAAGTCTGTAATCGTTAATCTATGTCCTGAGTTTGTGGTGACCTTCCTGCTTCAGGAAAGCAGCAAGTGAACTTTGGGGAAGTCCCCTAAGGTTTGTCTGTTCAAAGCCTTGCCCCCAACACAGGGCATTCATGGTGCAGGACTCTAGGGATTGCCATACCCACAGTGCTGTTCCGAGTCACCATTTCTGAGAGTTTCCCCAAATGGAATTACACTCTGAGGTTTCTGATGGAGAGCAGAGGTGCTTTTCCCTTCTGTCTGTCATTGCCTTTATCCTTTGCCCTGGCAAGGATGGACCATAGCCTTGAATGCGCTGGGCAGGCGCTCTACCATCCACTCTCCCCTAAGCTCTGTCCGCCTAGCTGGTCTTTAATTTCTGCCGTTCTAGCGAGGCTCTCAAAGGTTTGTTATTACTGGCACATGCTATTTAACTGAGAGGCTGTAATCAGCCCTCCTTCTCCAGAAGAGCATTAGTGGGGAGGTTTGAGATTGAAGTATTTAAGGTTGATTAGTAGGACTACAAGTAAAGCTGGAAGAAAACAGAATGGATGAAGATAACTTGTGACCTTGGATATGAGCCCCAGACCTCTCATGGCGCAGTCCCTTCATTTCCTGACGCTTTGTCTCTCACCCCCACCCTTGCTGTCTTTGCGCACTGCTCTCTGTCCCCTCCCTGTCCCTTCTTGCCCCTGTACCTCTCCATCTTGCTCTCTCGCTCTCTGTCATCATTACTGTCTTGGCTTGTCCTCCTTTCATTGCAAACTTCATAAGACTGATATGAACACTAACAGTCACTGTAGATTGCTCATGCAGTAAGCACGGAAATGTTTGGTTCATCATGCACTATGTGTTTTTGATGATTGTCTGTAGAATATAAGTTCTTAATTAATAAGTGCATTGTGTGTGTGTTTTCTCCTCACTAAACATTTAGTGAGTGAGTGTTCTTAGAGGTATGGGAGTGATTCTGGTTTGCTGTCTTCCTGGAGCTAGTAAAAAGCCAGTTTTTCAGGGTCCTCAGACCTAAACAATGAGCAGGAGGGGAGATTAAACAGTGATTTGGTGTGGTAACTCATTTTGTTGGGAGTCCAAATTGGATATTGCTAAACAATGGGATTTTTAAACTAACAGTCAAATTATCAATAAAAGTACTTTTTAAACTGGGAGAAAAAAAACCAAGCAAACAATGATATGACATGTTTGTATTTTTATAACTTAGCTTGTCTTGAGAAACTTCTGAGGACCTTTTGATACCTTGAAAGAACCTAATTATTCATTTCTTCTTGCAGATGATGTTATTTAACATTAGCATTACATGTAAGCCTTTTTAGAAAAGCATTTTACGTTAGTAGGAGACTAATAAGAATGTTTTCTTGCGTTTGCATTTTCTGTCCTTTAACTCTAGTGATTTGGTTCATACAACAGAAAGCCTGCGGCAGAGCAGGTTGTCCTCGGCGAAGGCAGAGAAGGAAAGTGCCAATTTCGATTTTGTGTTGGAACCTTATAAACTTGAGAATACAAGGCTGAGCAGGGAGAACAATGAGTTGTATCTGGAGTTGATGAAGCTGAGAGAACACTCAGACCAGCATATTAAAGGTACATGAGACTTTGATGAGTTTTTTAAATACATGATCCTTGTCCTCTTTGTTTTATAAGTGGAAAAAGCTAAAATCTTGTTTTAAATACAGGGAGCTGTTTTGAAGAATGCTTGAGAGTGGAAATAAGTGTGCACTCCATAGCCATGGTAGTCCTCACTATGCAGATGATGTTTTTGGTTTGAAATTGGTATGAAGAATACTAAATGGCAGAATGGAAGGCATTTACCTGAAACACTTATTCCTGTTCCTGAAAAGAAAAATAATGAGTAGGTGAAAGCTGTGTAGCACTTACTAGGCAATGTTGAGCCAGGAAGTAGATTTCAAAGGTAAAGGATACTTATTTGGTATCTTACTATAAATTTCATATTAAATAATTCCTTAACTCAAGGCTTGCTGGATCAAAGCCATGGTATACATTAGTCATACACAGTAATAACAAAACATAGTTGCCTTTAGTGGGTATGTGCAGATTCATTAGAGGTGGGAAGTGCATTCGTTTCCATCCACCTGTGAGGCCCAGGTGGTGCCCCTCCGCTTGGTGTGGATGTCTTGATCTTTAGAGTTGTGTTTTCATCTTTCTCACTTTAAGAGTTGAAAACTTCACTGAAAAGGTGCTCCCATGAGACAGCTGATCTGAAATTTCTGAATAACCAGTATGTTCATAAACTCAAACTCCTGGAGAAAGAGAGCAAAGCTAAGAATGAAAAAATCCAGCAACTTCAAGAAAAGAATTTGCACGCTGTAGTACAAACTCCCGGTGAGTCTTCTCCTTCTCAAAACAAGTTGGCTAGCGTGCTCGTGAAGACAGACTTCTTTGTCTTGAGAATCTATTCGTTTACAAAGTACAGCTCTAATCTTGCCAACTGCTGAAAAAGCAAACAGACTAAGAATTTTATAGAACTCCAAGATCAACCTGTCCATTTAAGAACATTCATGCTACCTACAAAGATAATTACGGAGGTGTTCAGTACTAATTCAGATCTATTATATTTTAGTTGTACTCTCTGGAGTTTTCAGTTATCTACTCTTTGTATGTTTCTGCAGTAATGTGTGCGTGTGCATATGTAGGCCAGAAGTCAACTTCTGGCTTCTTTCTCTATTGCTTTCCACCAGATTGTTTTGAGACAAGGTTTCTTACTGAACCTTGGGCTTGCCTATTAGGCTAGACAGGCTGGCCAGGAAGCCCCAGGGATCTTCCTGTCTCCACCTCCCCAGTGCTAGGATTACAGGATTACAACTGACTTTTTTTTCATGGTTTCTGGGGATCAAATTCAGGTCCTCATGCTTGAATGAGCTGTCCCCCAGCTTCCAATTACCGGCTCTTTTGACATTGTCTAATAAGCATGTGTATTTTAGTTCTTGCTGCCAGTGCTCCTCATTTGACAGTTGTGTGATGGTGATATTTTAGCTCATGCCACAGACCACCGCATGGCACGCTCAGATTTTAATCCTGCTGGAATCTGATGTAGCCGAGGGACAGTTTAAACCTGTGTGCATATGCCAAGCCTGCAGGCATAGGAAACTTGTCTTATAGCCTTCTTGAATGTTTGAGAAACATTGCTCAGTCAGAGATCCAGATGAATATTTACAGATGAGTCCTCTTTATAAGAGAAGGTTGATGTGTGCTGTTCAGTACTTAGAAGAGTGTTCTGGCTCTCCTTGGTTTTAAGACATACGAACATCTGTTTCTGTATTTGTAGGTGGCAAGAAAAGAAGCATTGCATTTAGACGCCAGCGGATGCAAATCGATGAACCAGCTCCACCCTCTGAGGTCAGTTCGTACCCAGTTCCGCAGCCAGAGGACCCATACATTGCAGACCTCCTGCAAGTGGCTGATAACAGGTGTGTTACATACTTGCTTTGCTGAGCGGGGAGTGGTGGAGGTATGCACAGTGTCCTCAAGGACCTGAGTTCAGTCACCATCGTCATCTTCATCTTTAATGAATCTTTTTCTGTCTTGCCAGCCAGCTTCCAAGTAATGACGCAGAAACTTCTTACTAATTATGAAAACTCACCTATGGCTTAGGTTTGCTCCTAACTAGCTCTTATAACTTAAATTAACCCATTTATATTAATCTGCATTCTATTTCGTGGTGTTGCCTCTTTTCCATCTTGTGCCTTCTGTTTCCTCTCCATGTTTCCTGGCTTCTCTAATGCACCTCGTTCATCTCCTACCTCTCTCTTTGCCCAGAAGTCCCACCTATACCTCCTGCCTAGCTATTGGCCACTCGGCTCTATATTAAACCAATCACAGCAGTACATCCTCACACAGTGTACAAATGCCCCACTACATCTGTTGGCTCGTTTGATCACAAGCTGCATTGTAAGGTGTTTAGTGGGAAGGTTTGGGCTTATTAATTGTGTCCCTATGTCCAGCACAAAATGTCACATAGGTACTCACTCAGTAGGTGTTTTCAGAATGATATGGACACTTTTTGTTTAAAAACTTTGTTTTCAAATAAGTCATGTATCTGAGGTTTCTGCCCATACTCGTTGTAAAATAACTTAGTGCTGTTAGGAACCCATTTCAGTGGAGTCGCTTTGACATTCAGGTTCATCTAAGTAGGTTATCTTTTACTGGAATCTCTAGTACTTCAGACTTACAGCAATATGCCAGCTGGACATGAATAGATAGCTAATTTTATCTGAAATTCTTCTCTCATGCATTCATTTGCCCTGTATTTATATTTTCTTATATAAATCAGAGTCAGATATAAATGCCATTTAAGTAACTGTTTATTAGGCCTCCAGGGCAAGGCCTTGAACACATGTCCTGAGATGTCAGAGTAAGGTCATGCTGCTGTTTGCAAATGCTTTCAGTTCACATGTCACTGAGAAAGCTATAAGGCTTTAAGGGCAAGAGAGCAAGTTCCAGCGACATTCTAGTGATTTTGGGGGATGCCCTCAGACTTTGGGGTACATGGGGAGACAGTGCAGGTGAGGCTTTGTGGTTCATGTAGAGAACACAGAGGAGGTTTTTCAGCCACTCATAATATCTAAAAGAGCTTTAGTTGAGATCTTCTGAAGACCACTTCAGTCCCTTATTCTCTCCTAATATTATGTGCCTGTGTTCATATGGCTACCTTGACCTTTGGTGGTCTGTTCATCTGCTAAAGTCATGGCTAGGCTGCCAGGTAGTGTTACTTAAAGAGTTGTTTACACTGTATAAGTGCCATCAATATCTTTTGTCTGTCTGCTTTGGTGTGCACATACACTGTTTGCAAAGGGTCCCTGCAATGGCCTTAGAGTGTTTGCATGTATTATCTTATCTCTAGCCTAGATCAGGAGAGACTTTGGCTTTATTAAGTGTTGGGATGAGCTCTCTGCAACCTACTTATTGCAGCTCACGGAACATTTCTCCTCAAAGTAGACTCGCTTCAGGCTTTCCCTGTCAGACGTGGGTTATGCCATACCAAAACAATGGAAGCCATGTGGAGTTCAGATGTCTTGGACAGAGTCTTGATTCTATTAGAGCTTTTGAACAGCAGGCTTTGCTGAGGTCACTTGGAAAATTGCCCTTTTTCCAGATTTCTTCTCTCCAGAAGTGTAAAGTAGTTCAGTAAGCAGCATAGGGTTGGTTAGGGTCAGAAAACACACACTTGTCCCTTGTTTCATTTAGTGATGTTGTGAATTTTGAACTAGACCTTGAGTTTCCTGAGCCTAAAACTTAGTAGCTGTACCTCAGAGTTTCTCTAAATATCCAATGGAACAGTGAGGTGATTTATTGCATGATGTGTCTGAGTTTAAAATCCCTTGCCTCTCAAATGGCTTTGATTTCTGTTTCTATAAAGTTAGCTCTCCAAGGTGAACTGTATTTAAGCTGAGGCTCTGGGGCCTTTGTCCTCCCCTAGAACTGGAAGTGGGATTTTATGCAACAACAGTCACTTTCATGCTCCATTGTATTGTTTTGTCTCTCTTAACCAAAGCCTGCTCCATATGCTGACATTGGCTATGCGTGTTTCAGGATTCAGGAACTTCAGGAGGAAGTCCACGAGCTGCAAGAGAAGTTAGCACTGATGGAAAATGGAGTGAGAGGTTACAGCAAGCAGGTAGGACTTGCTTATTTGTGTGTCTGGGTTGAGTTATGTATGATTTGATCATGACTAGAATTGTCTTATATTTGATATTTCAGATCACCAGTTTTAAATGCAGCCTTTTTTCCCTCTAAATGCTTGTTAGTCAAGTTAATAGGTGGAGTAGCTCTAGATAGTGGTACCTGGTCCATTCCCTTCATTATTCACTGAGGTGACCTGTAATTTTAGTTTTGATTTTCTTTTATTTGAAGTATCTATTTCCTCAAATAAAAAAAATTGCCCCAAATAAAAATTGTGTTACTATGTTCATCTCAAGAATAACTTTATTTAAGAATGACAATGTACTTTTATAATTATATTTATATGTTTTATAATTATGTTTGTTAAGAGAGCTGACCGGATGGCTCAGTGGGTAGAGGTGCTTGCTACCAGGCCTTACTACCTGAGTTTGATCTCCAGGACCGACACAATGGAGGGAGAGACCCGACTCCCAAAAGTTGTTCTCTAACCTCCATTTATGAGTCATGTACACACACACACACAATATAAATAAATATTTTTTGTAAAACACAAAAGAAAATAATTGTATTGTTTTTTTGAGACAGGGTTTCTCTGTGTAGCTTTGTAGACCAGGCTGTCCTCAAACTCACGTAGATTCACCTGCCTCTGCCTCCTGAGTGCTGGGATTAAAGGCGTGCGCCACCCCACCTGGCTCATATTATTTCTTTTTTTACTGACTGTAAACCTTTGACAGTTGCTCTTCTGGGTTACTGTGTCTCAGTGTGGACCCTCTGGAAGCATTACTGCAGCGTGACAGTTTCCTAAGGAGCAAGGGTTAGGCAGATGCAGTTAAATCTTAACCACAGTGAGCTTCATGCTCGTGCTCTCTGTGTTGGTCTCTTGGCTAAGCACATGCTTTATTTCCTACTGTGCTCACTGAAGTTTAAACTGGGTAACATTTTTTCTCATATATGTGGTTGTAGTTTTTTTTTCATCATCTGTACATCTAACTCTACATGTGCCAATGTGTTGGTATAACTCTTAGTCTGTAAAGTACTTTGAAAATTATTTGGATTAGATAGAAACAAGTTAAAGGACATTCTAACATTGTCAAACCAAATCAAACAGACAAACAAGCAAAAAACTCTTTTAGGAAGACACTAAGCGTTGGTTCTCTGTGTGTGGGTCATGACCCCTTTGGGGTCAAGTGACACTCTAATAAGGATCATATACCAGATATTTACATTATGATTCATAACAGTAGCAAAATTACAGTTATAAAGTAACAATGAAAATAATTTTATGGTTGGGGTCACCACGACATGAGGGATTGTAAGGGTAACAGCATTAGGAATGTTGAGAACCACTGCACTAAAAGTATCACATTTTACCCTGGGGTGTGGCTCAGAGGTAAAGAACTTGCCTACCATTAGGATCTGGATTCAGTTCTTAGCATAGCAAAAAAGGGGCGGGGGGAGAGCACACATTGAATGTTATTGTTACTTTTCAGTTTGTAACCACATTTTCCTGAGTACTTTATGAACAGAAACTGCCCAAATCTTGCCATTTCTCTGAGGTGGCTGAAGAGTTTGGAGGACATTGCTTGACCTCTCTGGTTAAAGTACGAGTTGACTGTCCATCCATCTTAGTTGTGCCTTGCTGCTATTGAGTCTTCTTTTACTGCATTTGTTTTTCTCAATGTATTCAGGTTGTGAGGGCCAGGGGTCAGCTCAGCGGTGGGCACTTAACCCAGCATGCTCAAAGCCCTCAACTGAGAGCAATAACAGCACCCCAAACTTTGCTATTCCCAACCTCTCCACTACCCCACTTTCTCAGGGTGTCTCCTTGTTTCAGTGTCCTGCTTTTGCCTTTAAGTAGTAGTGCTTGTTCTCAGGGTCTCCTCAGACTTAATGGGCAGAGGCTGTGTAGCAATACTTTCTCACTGGGACTGCCAGCTCACAAATAATGACACACAGACTTACTAATTATGAATGCTTGGCCTGAGCTTAGGCTTGTTCCTAACCAGTTCTTATAACTTGAATTAACCCATAGTTTTAAATCTATGTTCTGGTATGTAATCCATTACCTCATCTCTGTACTGCCCATCTTGCTTCCTCCTCATCTGGCTGGCAACTCCGCCTTTCTTTTTCCCAGAGTTCTCTCTGCCCGGAAGTCCTGCCTATACCTGCTGCTTAGGTATTGGCTATTCAGCTTTTTATTAACACCAGTCACAGCAATATATCTTTACACAGTGTACAAATATCCCACAAAACAGTTTTTTTGGTTCAATGATCAATTCTTCACACTTCTCTCCAGCAATGAGCTTCCTTGTATATTACAGTCCAATTATGCTGAGCCATTTCTGCTGTCTCTGATATTGCCCATGATTTTGTGCATTGGTATCCCAGAGAACCCCTGATTTTGATACAGCATTGTCATAACCATTATGGACACCCTGTATTTAGCAAAGTTTTGGTGATTTCATAGGCACAGATGTAGAATGCAGAGAGTGAACCACTTCATCCCTTTAAGTTAAGTACTGGTGCTGTCATATACCATTTCCTTCACTCTTCTGTTGAAGAAGACCTGATATCCAGCAACTGCTGGGATGCTTGTTAGTACTCCTTGTTCCTGAAAGTCATAGTCCATTGTTTTAGTCATCTTACATGGCTCAGTGTGTGTTCAGTAATTACTAAATTGATCTTTGTTGTTGTTGTTTTTCTGTTTCTAGGGAAAACAAAGAGAGAGTGTGTGAGAGAGAGAAAGAGAGAGAGAGAGAGAGAGAGAGAGAGAGAGTATGTGTGTGTGTGAGTGTGTGTGTGTGTGTGTGTGTGTGTGTTTGCATTTTTCCAGTTCTTGTATATGAATTGGTGTCAATTTTTGGTTAATAGTCCTCTTTTGATTATATGTAAATTCACCCTATTTTCTTATCCTTTTTAATACTGAATTTGATAACAACTCATTTTTTCATGTTTTCCACTCATTCATTCATTCTGATAAGAACTGACGTATGTTAGCATTATTCCAGTACTTGAACATATGTATAATCTGCCAATACATTTCTCTTCATATAAACAGTTGCCTAATTTTAGAGGAGTTTAAAAAACTCAAATATTCAATTAGAATCAATTTCATAAAAGCACTGATAAGAGCTATGTTGATATGATAACACTGGTATGTTCTGTGTGGATTCCAGTATAAACTGTAGCTGCTAGTGTACATTGTTGGGACGTCAGGAAAGAGCATGTCTAAACAAAGGTGCAGGGTTATTGATTTGCTTCACAACCAGTTTTATTGACTGAAAGCACAACTTTATGTCCTCAGATTGAACTAAGAGAACGAGAAATAGAACGGCTGTCACATGCTTTGGATGGCGGTCGTTCCCCTGATGTCCTGTCTCTGGAGACTAGAAATAAAACCAATGAAAAGCTTATTGCTCAGTTAAATATTCAGGTAATGACTCTTAGGATTTTTTCACTAAGTATATAAATATTTGAGGTTTTTAAAATGATCTTTGGGTTTATAAAAAGTAACAGGCTTGCTCACTGAAGTATTATTTATAAGGGAGTTTTATTTGTTTGTGTTATTCATTTTGAGGCAGGGTCTCACTATAAACCCTTGGCTGGCCTAAAACCCTCAATGTAGATCAGGCTGACCTTGAACTCACAGAAATCCATCTGCCTCTGCCTCTCCAGTTCTGGGATTAAAGGTTTGCACCACCATGCCTGGCTCTAGGGAGTTTCTGGTAGAGCAGAGTATGTAAAAATAAGGGGCAGCTTTCAGAAGTCAGAATGCTCATGAGGCAGCAAGTAAGATAGGTCTGGTGTTGCAAACTTAGAAGAAGACCGTAAATCCTGGGCAGTACATTCAGTTTGCTTAAAAACCCATGAATGGGTGAAGCATGGTGACACATTACTGCAATCTTGCACGGGAGTAGGATAGGCAGGAAGATTAGTTTACGGTCAGCCTCAATCCCATAGTAAATTCTAGACTTCAGTAGGTTACATGAGACCCTATATCCAAAGAACAAAACAACAGAATATATAAATATAGAGAGAAAACCCACAAGGGATATTTTAAAATATACTGACAAAGTTTATCTTTGTGTGTTGGGGAATTCTTGATGGTTCTGTATTTTTAAAACTTGATGACTATTTTATACTGTAAAAGATGATTTTAAGGTATATATATGCTTATATATACTATATGTTATAGGTTATATGTACTGCCTATAATATATGCTATATGAGTCACAATATTATCTACTTTATACCTTACAGACATATTATGTAGCATGTATTAGCATGTAATATATTATCGATATATTAATGTGGTGAGAGTATAGTAAAAGGCTTGTGTAACATACAAGTCCCAAGTCTAATCCTCACCACTACCAAGAAATAATAACATAAATAAAACACTCAGTTTGTGCCTGCTTGCACTGTGCTTTGACCTGAGAATGAAGAAGCAGAAGAGATCCGTACTTAGTCTAGATGTGCACGTAGCCAGGTAGAGTTTGTTCAAAGACAATAGAGGCAGCACTCAAATACACTGTCCAATGGAAATGTGAATCCAGACAGCTGGAGTACATTATAATTGTAGACAATGTATTTATCCCAATATATCCAAAACTGCATTTCAGCATGCAATGATTTTAGTTTCCTAAAACAACGAAAAACCCAGAACTTTGAAGCCTCATGCACTTTACATTTATAGAGCATCTCAGTTTAGAGTCGTCACATTTCAAGTGCTTGGCAGCTACATCTAGATTCTCGTAGCTACTCTATTGGGCAATACAAGCTAATGTCATTGTGACAGTCTTGTCATATTTTTAGAGCTCTGTTGGTAACAAGTTCACAAATTTCTTATCCTTTCCTTGTGTTTGAAAAATCAAAGCCAGTAGATGGACATATTTTCATTAAGGTACCATTATCAGTTTAGCAAAAAAAAAAAACAAATTAGTTACACATACAAAAACAGCTGGATTTGACCTCAGTATCTTTTAAAATACAGTGCTTAGAACTTTTAGTTTGAAAGTTGAGAATTTCAGATAATTTCCCAATTTATCAACTCTATGACTGCGATTGTAAATTGGATCCAGGTTGACTTCCTTCAGCAAGCTAATAAAGAACTGGAGAAGCATATTCAAGAACTCATGGAAACCAAGGAAACAGTGACAACCGAAGTTGTGAACCTGAGTAACAGAAATGAGAAGCTCTGCCAGGAGCTAACGGAGATCGACCAGCTAGCGCAGCAGCTGGAAAGGCATAAAGAGGAAGTCCTGGAGACGGCAGACAAGGAGCTGGGGGAGGCAAAGGTGATGCTGGGTCTGTGCTGTGGGAGCTCACCAGCCCTGAGCACAGTGAGCTGAGCTCAGGATAGCTATGCTCAGCTTTGGGTGTGCTCGGTGGGGGCGCATGTCTGCCTCTAACAATCCAAGGTTTTTTGGGTTTCTCTTTTTTTGCGGGGGTTCAAGACAGGGTTTCTTTGTGTAGCTTTGTAAACCAGACTGGTCTCAAATTCACAGAGATCCTCCTGCCATTGCCTCCAGAGTGCTGGGATTAAAGGAGAGCGGCTCTACCACCTAGCCTACTTGGTACCTTTTTGATCAGTGTTATATTAGCCCAGAATCAAAATATGTATGAATTGAATTTCTTTTTTAATTCTTTGACTGTAAGATTCAATGTTATACTAGTCCTCAACATGGTATTATCATTACCTTTGTTAGTAATCACTAGGTCAAAGTGGCAGGTATTTCACAGTGCCGATCAGTATTTTAAAAGTAAATTTGTATTTGGAATACGTCTCAGTGCAATGTAATGGGAGAAAAATAAAGCCTTCAGCCAGCCCCAGCCTAGCCTAGATGATCAAAGGGCTTTTCATTTTAATCTTGAAAATGCATGTATTTAAAATATGAGTGAGATTCCTTTGAAGCAGTGTGCTAAGGCAGTTGTGAAAGGGAAAGTGAGACTAGAGAACTCATACATACCTAGGCCACAAGCTGACTCTTGGGTCATCTCTGAGGAGCACTGTAAGTAAATTAAGTAACTAGATGCCACGCTTTAAAGGCTGTGTGCAGGGAGGTGAAGCTCAGTGTGTACATGTGCCTGGGCTCTGTCTCCAGTACCACAGAACAGAGCAGAGCTGGTTGTACCCATAGCTTGATACATCTTTTGGAACTCTTCCTGCCAGGAGTACACAGGACCCAGTGTGAAAACCACTGTTTGCATCACTGCATTCATGTTAGGCAATGCTAACCCCAGAGTTAGTGAACCAGAAGGAAACTACATCAAGATGATACACCTATTAATAAGAAGCCCACAGCAAACATACTTAGTGTTGGAAGACTAAAATCTTTTATTCTGGAATCAGGAACAAGTCCAGGATACTTTTGTTATTTCTGCTTAGCATAATACTGAGTCAGAAGGGCTGATGCATGCCTAGAAATCCCAGCATTTGCAGGGAGACTGTATTCTAGGCTAGCCTGGGGTATACTGTGAAACCATATCTTAATAAAACTAAACTAAAATAGTACTGGAAGACCTTCTCAGCAATTAGATACAAAAATAAAACAGAATAAAGTAAAGGGCACACAATTTTCAAAGCAAGTACATATGTGATATGACCTCAGGTGTGGGAATCCAAAGACTTACACACAATGAAATAGAACAAGCACGTTCAGCAAAATTGCACCACACACACACACACACACACACACACACACACGCATGCACGCACGCACAAATGGATGCACCAGGAAAATTATGTATACTAAGAATAAAAAACTACAACAAAGAAATTAATTAATCCCACTTGCAGCTACATCAAAAAGAATGAATTTAAGCAGTGAGTGAAAATATTAGATAGAAAACTCATGAAAATTAAAGAGTGTGTAAGTGGAAAGGCATCCTGTGCACATTCAAAAGGAGACGTATGTTGTGAAACCACACAGGATGTGGATTCAGCTTAAGTCCTATCAGAATACAGTGACAGTTTTTGCAGTAGAGGAAAATAGTCCTGGAGTGTAAATGGACTCTCAAGAGACCCGTATAGACAAACAGTGGAAGAAGGTGTAGGTTAAGGATGTAACCAAGTTTGCAGAGTGCTTGCCCCACGTGCATGAGGCCCTGGCTTGAATTTCAGAACTGGCCGAAAGGTGTGGGCCGTGTAGTTCAATAGTTTCGTTTCTGCTTCTCTGGTTTTAGTGTATTACTACAGTCTATATCTCCCCTCTCCTGTTCTACTCCTTTTTGTACACTCTGTGCTGCTATATGCAATGCATTGAACATGGTTCCGTATGACCTGTTGACACATCCCACAGATGTCACTTCAATCAACACAAGATTGCTGTTGGATCACATATTTCAATGGCATTCACCTCTCTCAGCTGTAGTGTAAGAGATCCAGGTTGGTAAAAGCAGGCCAAGAGCAGTGAGGAGGATGGTTAGAAAATGACCACCATCATTTCCCAAAGCTGAGGCCTAAGAAGGGCAAGTTGAAGTGGTTCTCTACTTGATAAGTGAGTCCACCCAGGCGTTCAGGACACCACAGTATTAAACAGAACCTCATCCTACTTGCTATTCACTGAAGCTGAGCATTAGACTAGAGTCTCAGACTTTACTGATAGAGAGTGCAAACAGCTGGTCTTTTCCTTATGCCATAGTAATGTATAGTCTTAGGGTCTTAGATGCTCACCTAACAAGCTTTTTATTCCTAGAAAGAGATTAAAAGAAACCTCTGTGAAATGCGGAACCTTGAGGAAAAAATGTCAAATCTTCAACTGGTAAGTCAGTGTTACACTGTTGCCAGTGTTTTCAGAATGGAACTGATGCCTGATTGTATAAATAAGTCTATTGAAAAACAATCTGTATGGATAATATTCAGTCTTTTAGTGGGCTGGGTGGTTTTAGCATAGTCATGGAATTGTCTAACCATCACTGCTAATCCCAGAACATTATCACTCTGGAAAGAAACCATACACCCAACAGCAGTCACCCATTACCTTCTGCTTAGCCCCTGATAGCCACTCACCCACCTTCAGGTTCTAGAGTTCTCATTCTGACTATTTTGTATAAATGGATCGTGTATTGTGTGACCTTTTGTATCAGGCTTCTTTTACTTCGAGTTTTTCTTAAGGTTCGTGAGGTCATAGCATGAATGGGAACTCCATTCCTTTCAATAGCTGAGTGATAAATGTTCCACAATATGGTTATGCAATTTCATAATTTTATCATTCTCTGATCTTTCATAGCATGGGTTTATAGGTAACATTGAAAATATAAGACCCTGGTATTCCTCTAACTACTTTATGACTTGCCAGTTTACTAGTAATAGACCAAAAACTAGTATTTATTTGTTGTTATTGTAAATACTCATTCTTCTTTTAATTGCTTTGTTTGTGTAATTCAAGCTATTTTCCTAGTCAACATGCTTGTCCCTGTAGCCTTTGGTGACAAAAGCAGGCTTCATCCCAAGAGACCTCTCAATACAGGGACTCACTGTGGAAATAGGAGGATGCCTTACAGGCTAAAACTGGCAGTCACTCAGAGGTGAAGGTCTCTCTTCCTTGTGATAGCCTGCTATGTTGGAAGGGTTCCCTGTAAGTTAGAAGCAGAAACCAACAGTAACTTGCATCTCTTCATTATGTATTATGTCTACACTGCTGTATTGTGATGACATTGCTGTTTCTATGGTATAGTAGACTGTATTCACTATTTGTGGATTTTTGTGCACATAGTGTCAACAGCACATGATAGTGGCTTATGAAAGTATCCATTTCACCTATAAGCATTATAAGTGTTTAATTAAGTTATTAGAATACTTAATTATAGAATTACCATTTTGCAGGAATTAGACTTATGCCATAAGGAAAAGGAGAGACTGAATGATGAGCTCCTTCTAAAATCAGACCTGGAAACTGTTGTTCATCAGCTTGAACAAGAAAAGCACAGACTTAGCAAAAAGTTGGAAAGTTTTGCAGTCACAGGTAAGATGCCAAATGTAGGTTTAAAAAGGGATTTGCTCTCTCCATGGTGTTGCTATTAGTAGATGATCTTTCATGCATTGGTTTAATAGCCATGTGGTGAGCACTTGCTGTGAGCCAGAAATGATGCTAGGCCATGTGGACATGGTAGGAACCCCTCCCTGTATTATGACTGGTTGTCACAGGAGAGGCTTCTGGAATGTTTACAATGCAAGTGCTTGCTTCTTTGAGGCAGCCTGAGAAGACCATTCTGAAATGGCAGACATTAAGTACAGAGTCTTTAAGGGAATACCATTCTATTCCCTGAAAGTCCACACTTGTGTCTGTCTGATCACCCCTTACTCTGTAGCTCCTCACAACATTCCAGGCGGCTTCTGTCCCCGCCTCACCAGCAGAACTGCCTTTCCAAGGTGTCTGGGCACCACACTGAATGCAACAGTGCTCTTCTCTTGTTAGCTTGTTTCTTTTTAATTGCAATTGCTCATTCCTTCTTGGGATGAAATGGCCAGTTCATAAGTGTTCTAATGTCATGGATTAGCCAGTTTCATCTAGTAAATTGTGTATCTGCTGAATGAACGAAGGGGAAGCTGGCAGCATCGAATACATCATGAAAACAACTCTTATGTCAGTGTTGTGGGTGTCAGCTCCACAGGCTAAACTCTGTAAAGTTGCTAGTATTTGCTTTGTTTTCGCTCAGGAAAGGTAACCTTTATAATCAAAACTAATCATTGTGAGCTGGGTTATAAGTGGTATATTCCTACAGTCCCAGGCACTTAACACACACACAAGGCCCTTAACAGCAGAAAACTGTTTGTGCTTATTGGAAGCAAGCAATGAGTTGTTTTGGTTTCTTTGTGCATGTATTAAATTCAAGTTCAGTGAAGTATGCACCTGCAGAGTTGCTTACAAGTGCTTTTCTTTCAGTGCTCTTTTAGGGTCTCTAGGAAGCCCCACTCAGAAATGCATTTTGCTTTCTTTTATGGTACCAAATAGTATCCAACGGTGATGACGTCAACATGGGATGACCTTCACTCGTTGATCACTTCTCATTCTCAGTAATTACCCCATTTGTCTGATCCTTGTGGTTGACACACAGAACAGTTCAAGATTGCTAGTAGTTTCTATTTTCTAAATTATTTACTTGACTAATCACTTTATGTATGCAGTATATATCTTATTATATATCATCTTATACATATTATCTTAACCACTTTAATTTGCAGAAAGAGAACTGACTTTGGAAGTTGAGAGGATGAGACTAGAACACGGGATAAAACGGCGAGACAAGTCGCCCTCCCGTTTAGACACATTCCTGAGAAGCATAGAGGAGGAGCGAGACTATTACAAGAAAGAGCTGGAGAAACTCCAGCATATGATCCAGCGAAGAACTTGTTCTGTGAATTACTGCACTCGGGAAAAAATCTCAATATACAAATGCTCAGAAAAGGTAATACTGTTCCTAAGAGTAATCAAAAGGATACGTGTATTCATGCGTGCATACGGTATACATTTTTAAGAAGGCCTATCTTGATTTTTGTTTTTTCTATAACTTGCAGTATGGGAAACCCTGCATTATTAGGAAAACTACCCAACAATAAAGGACACCATTTTGATTCCTGTATATTTAGCTTGAATAGCTGAGTCATGTGAGAGGCCTGCAGGCTTTCAGAAACCAGACCACAAAGACTCACAATACTGTACATTTCCACTCTTTCTAGGATTTATGTTCTCTAACAGCTGCACTTTCCCTCGGCTAACAGTAGTTCTGTCCTCATAGCACACAACAAGCCTTTATGTCATTCCCAGCTTTGTTGGTCGAGTTAGGGGCATCATCGCTTTCAGTGACTGTTTCACAGTGCTAATAGTAAGCAGCAGGCATGGTGGGTGACCGTGTGTAAGCACATGAGTAGAATGAGTGTGTGAGAGACAGTTGTGAGCATGGAGACCTGGGGAGTGCATTTCCCACATAAAGACAACCAAGAGCTCTCTCACTCTGGACTTGGTACCGCCTGTGGCTGTTAGCTGCCTGCTTTATGGTAAGCTGGTAAGCACAGTTTCTTGATATTACGGTATATCAGGAAAAATATAGGCATGTTTAGTATCAGTGATCTTAAGTATGCCAACCTCATTGAGCTGCTCTTGTCTTTGGTGGAAGCATTTCCCTTTTAACGGTCTGAGTTTGAGGACAGCACGAGGCTTTGGAACTGGAAGCCTGATGCCAGTTCCAGCTTCTTGTACCAGCATATGATAAACCTTAGAGAAACTGATCTCATGCAGCCCCAATTCATCATGTGCAGATCCAGAAAAGAAACTCCACCTTCCTCTAAAGGTTGAATGAAATCATTGGCATAAGGGCCCTTTAGCAGAGTGTCTAGTTCCCAACCAGGAAGCAGTTTGTTTCTTTATTGCTTGCTGGTTTAAAGCAGCTCTGATCTGTGTGATTAAGTTCTATAATATATATATATACATATATATATGTATATATATACACACACACACACACACACACACATATACACATATATATATCGTCTTCTATGAATGAAGCATGTACTGTAGAGAGAATGTTGACAGTTCCTGCTCAAGCAGACAAAGCAGGTACCGTACCAGGTACAGCACACAAAACGACAGGAATTGGAGCCCTCTGTGTGTCTCACAGAAACTCATCTAGTAAAAGTACTGGAGGGGGTATATCTACCATTGAGCTACCTCCCTGATTACTAAATAACTTTAAGATGTCATTTATTTTAAGTGTTGATGAAACTGTACAGGAACAACTCACGACACGGAGTTTTACATACATCTCAAATATGAAGAATCTAGAAGAATTCCTTGTAAAAAGTGACATTTAAGCTGAGGTACAGAGCAATGAAAACAGTCGTGGATCTTTATTCATTGCACTCCTTTTCCAGGGTCTGTGCAGACTACATTCTGTAAGATGTTAGTTCACAGGCTTTCCTCTATGGTTTTCTGCTCTCCTGTAAAACCGCTTCCCCTTTAATGTGTCCATGATGCTCTGTCATGTCCATCATGCTTTAATTGTGCTTGTTTAACAAAAAGATAGCTCATTCCTACGTGGAAGCTCCCTCACGCATTTCTACCATTTACTGAGTCTTCACTGGGATTGTATGTGTTCAGTAGATATCAAATAGCACAAGCCAAGACTCTTTCCAATTGCATTACTTTACTTTTGCTGTGACAAAACACCATGACTAAGGCAACTTATGAAAGAGCATTTAATTAGGCTTATGGTTTCAGAGGGATTGCATCCATGAAAGCAGAGCAAAGGAGTGGCAGGAACAGTTGAGAATTAACTTTTGGATCCACAAATAGGAAGCAGAGAGCACACTGGGAAAGGGAGTCTTTTGAAACCTCAAAGCCACTGACACTTCCTCCAACAAGACCACACCTCCCAGTTCTTCCCAAACAGTTCCAGAAACTTAGGACTAATATTCAAACATATGAGCCTATAGGGGCCATTCTCATTTAAACTGCCACACTAATATAGCAGGTTATTAGGATTTCTGTATTTAGGTCATTGACATTACCATACTATAAATTAGCCATTCTTGTTTGCATGGCAGTGATAACTGGAACTTTTGAATTATACAATGATAGTAGATGTATTCTTTTTTTATTACTTTAATTTTAAATAGCTTGCTTCACATGTCAATCCCAGTTCCCTCTCCCACACCCTCCCACCATCCCCCCCAGCCTCCCACCCTATCCCCACTTCCTTCCACATAGGGGATATCCAGAGTCTGCCATTTCGCTCAGGGCAGGGTCCAGGCCCTCCCCCCAGAGTCCAGGCTGAGAGAGCATCCCTTCCTTTATGTGTTATGGACACAGGAAGTCCATTTATATGCCAGGGATAAACACTGATCCACTGCCCAGGGCCCCATAGGCCTCCTCACTGACTCTCACACTCAGTGGGGTCTGGATCAGTCCCATGCTGGCCTCCCAGCTGTTGGTCTGGGGTCCAAGAGCTCTCCCCTTGTTCAGGTCAGCTGTCTCTGCTGGTTTCGCCAGCCCATTCTTTGCCAGTAGATGTATTCTTAGAAATGTTGGAAGTCAGTGGAATATTGGAAGAAATTTTGCTTAGTCAGTAAAAATCCATATATTGCCCTTTAGCAATATTTATGTTTGTACCATTGCACATTTAGATCTCATGTGGGTATTAACTGGGACAGCTGGGGCTGTTGTACCTGAGATGTCAACCTTAATGGTCAATCATAGAAAACAGGTACACAATACTCCTCCTTGGCAGAGAATTATAAAGTGGTGACTCTGAAAACTTACCATGCATTAGAATAACATGACAGACTTGACAAAATGTCCTATACCCTTCTCCCAAATGTACCAGCGTGGACCCTCAGCTTCATGTGTGTACAGCAAGCCTCTAGGGCTGCTGATCTCCCAGGCTGGAGGTTAGAGTTTAGGTGCCACCAGTGTGTAACGGGAGCAGCTAAGGAGAGAAGCTGTGGAAGCCTCTAGTGAGATCTGCACAGGTGGTATTATCGGCAGCAGTGTACCTTCCTGAGAACCCAAAGCCAGGAAATTTGTACCATTACTGCCAGTGCTTCCATCTACTCTCATGGAATTTATTCTTTAATTATATTAAAAGAACTTCAGCCAGCCATGTCACCGTCACCAGTGTTTCTCTGACAACCACAAATGATAATCTGTCATTCTAATTGTTTCAGGGTGATCACAATTCAGACATTCATCTGATCACAAGAGAAAGAGATGAACTTCAGCGCATGCTAGAAAGATTTGAAAAGTACATGGAGGATATACAGTCCAATGTGAAACTGCTCACAGCGGAAAGGGATAATCTAAGTGTCTTGTATAACGAAGTAAGCAATTGGTCCCAACTAATCCAGCAAGTCATTTAGAATCAGTTTGCTGTAACGGAACTGCTTTGTGTCCTGCATGTTTTCCTAACACATGGGACTCATGATTTTACTTCCCAGTTAAGATGATAAGTAGTAGTAGTTTTGACTGTCATCTTCTCAAAACAGATATTTCTCTTGTTTTTGTATGTTTGTTTCCCCTCTTTTCTAGCTTACCAGTGTGCCAGGTCAGTTAGAGATTGTCTCTTTGTTTTAAAATGAACTGAACAATCCTTAGCTGTCTCTGTGCCAAGATTTTCCTCCGCTTTCGACATGCTATCACATATTTGAATTCTAGGGACAAACTGGATATGCAGCCACTGTTTGAAATACTGACTCTTAGTTAGCCTCTATATGTAGACGGAAGTTTCTGTCCCACCCGGCCCCGTAACCATTTAGTCCCAACACACAGAAGCTTATATTAATTATAAAATTTTTGGCCTATTGCTTAGGCTTTTTCTTATCTAGCTCTTACAACTTAAATTAACCTGTAATTCTTACCTATATTTAGCCATGTCTTGGTACCTCTTCTCAATAAGGCATTCTCATCTTGCTACCTCTGTGTCTGGCTGGCCACTGTGTCTCTGCCTTTCCTCCACCAGAATTCTCCTAGTCTGGCAGCCCCGCCTATACTTCCTGCCTGGCTCCAGGCCAATCAGCATTTTATGATATCAATATGAGTGACAAATCTTTACAGTGAACAAGAGCACTATCCTACATCATCTGTGTCTGAGGAGATGACTCCATTGTTAAGAGTACCTGCTGCTCAAGCATGAGGATCTGAGATCAGATCCCCGGCACGGGGGCATGGTGGCTCTCATCTAGTACTTAGCACTTGAGGGGCCAGGACAGGTGGGTCTCCAAGAGCCTATTAGCCCAGGCTAGCCAGTCCATGCGAGACAATGGTGCATGCATGCTCTCAGGTTACCTCCTGGGAAAATCTGCCCTGGAGAGGCCAGCACTGCCATGGCTTGGCCCACTACAGAGCCCGAGCTGGCAGAGGGTGAGTTGATTGAACAAATCCTGGAGTCTGGTTTGTTCACACCTATCCCTTACTATTTTGACGGGAGGGATGGACATGTGAGTTCAGAGACACTTTGGCTTTGGTGAGCTTTTCTGGGACTTGGCAGTGCACTGATTAAAGGGAGTTTCCCCACAGTAGACTTAGCTCTCAGCTTTCTTGAGTCTACCTAGCTCATTCTTCTCTCCTGTCTGCTTCTAGTTTCCAGGTTTTGTGGCTGCAGCTTCTCCTTGCCTTTGGGAGTTTAGTGGTTCATTTTAATCCTTTTAATCTTATTTTATTGGGTTTGGGGGAAAAGGTAGCATGTACTTAATATACCCCTACCCCATGCCCTTCTTAAAATAATGGACTATATCCAAAGTACTTTTCTCTCTTTTAATGTGTCAAGGCGAAGGAGGAGCTGTCTGCACTGAGACAGGAATCCACTAATGGGATAGTCCCCAACAGTCTTGTTAGTTGTATTGAAAAGGAGAAAGAGCGTGCATTATGTGACTTAAGAAGAATTACAGTGGAGAAGGAAGCTCTGAGAGAAAAGTTGAAAGTAAGTAATTCAGTTTACATCGTTTTGAAAGGTGATTCATTAAGTGTTTGGAAAGAAAGTGAAAGTAGCAGGCATTGACTGTGCCCCTCCCCCACTGCCTCCCGTCATAACTGCACTCTCCTTTGAAGTTACTATTGGGAGTATACATCGAGGTGGATCTAGCATAGCAGCATGCCAGCCCATACTGAGCCACCTAGTTTGTGTGTGGTCGTAGCTAAGAATATTCCATCATGGATAAAGTGTTGTCCATAGCTGCTTTCATACCATGGTGGCAGAATTGGGAAGTCACAGCAGACACATTTGGCCCCCAAATCCCAAGACATTAACTTTCAGTCCTTGCAGAAACATGGAGCCACACCCTGGACTCGGGATTGTTGTAGGTCAATAGTAGCGTTCTTTTCTTCTTTACATAACGACAATGGTTATTTTTCACCTAGCAGACAATTTACCCATTTAATGAAAGGGACATTCAGTGGCGCTTACTATCCTTTCTCTCCCTAGCTTTCTTTTATAACTTGCATCATAATTAATCTTAGAAAAACTCATTACCACAGACCGGAACCTTGGATCCATTAGAGTAGTTTCAGCTTGTCCCAGGCCTCCTTAGCTATAGGCACTACTGACTCACTTTCTGCCTCTCTGCATTTGCCTTCTCTGGACATTTCATATGAGCTGAACATGAAATGTTGGGCATTGAACCTAGGTTGTAGCATGTACAAGACAATCACTCAACCCCTGAGCTACATCCATAATCCACATGAGTGTTTTAATTTAATGTTTGGTGTCTCTCATCTTGATATCCTGAAGGTTCACCCATGAGTAATGCTCATATGAGTGTTTATGTGAAGTTTTCGTTTCTCTTGAGTAGATTATTCTTAGAATTGCTCCCAAATAAGTGTGTTACTATATACAAAGCGTTATCTCATAGTACGTCCGCACAGTAAATTCTGAGTGTTCTAATTGTGGAAGCCATGGTTACTTCCAGTTAATATTATGAAATAAATGCTTTGAAGCTAACCACTAAAATTAGGAACAAAAAGTAAACACTCACTTTATGCATAGTCTTTTTTTTTGTTGTTTTTTTTTGTTTGTTTGTTTGTTTTTTTGGTTTTTTTGAGACAGGGTTTCTCTGTCCTGGAACTAGCTCTTGTAGACCAGGCCTTGAACTCACAGAGATCCGCCTGCTTCTGCCTCCCAAGTGCTGGGATTAAAGGCGTGTGCCACCTGCCACCACTGACCGGCTTAGGCATAGTTTTTTGCTACAAATTTTCAGTTAAAGTTTTACACCCAAAGGCAGTGTAAGAATGTTTTTAATTGGAGTTTTGTGGAATGCTGCCTTCTAGAAATTAAAAAGAAAAAAATCAGTTAAAATTGCCAGAGAGAAAACTTCTGTGCAATATGGCATCCGTTAGCACAGCCACTCACTTACCCTTTTCCGTATCTGTTGTAATGACCAGAAATGTAAAAATAGACTTTTTAAAAACCATATTAGTACTAGTAGTCCAGAAAGACTACATTGAGATTAGCAGAACCCTTCTGGGGTGTAGGAGACGGGCTTTTGTGAATTTCCAGGAGACCTTTCCTTTAAAAGCAGCACTGCTCATGTGACTCCTCTAGCCTTCTGGAGTGTTTCCCAACCTCTCCTGGCCATCCTGCTTTCCAGCAGCCATTGTGACCAAGCTCGAGTGACAGCTGTCAGCCGAGACCCAGTGCTGCCTCCTGAGCAGCTAAGTCTTTCCCCTAGGAGGGTTCTGTCCCAAGTGCTTTTAGACGAAGCTATCACAGTGGATCTTCCCAAAGCCTTTTCTGATAGTTTCTGTTGACAGATAGACCCCGAGTTATAATGAACTTAAATCCTTGCCTAGCCTTACCCGTCTGTGCTTACCGTCTCCCTGTGTCCTTCCCTAAACTGTTTAGGTGATTTAATTAACACAGCAATGATCCCTTTAACTACATGTACAATCCAAATAGCAAATACAGCTTTCTAATGACTAGCATGAATATATGTCTCCACTAGAAAAACTCAGTGACCATTGTGTTATATGTCTTTGACTTGGCAGCAGTTGGGACTTGTGTGATGTAATATAATCAGAAAATGAGCCTTCTATATCCTGACCAGCTAGGTCTTGTTGCATGTTGTTACCTATGTCTTCCTATTGTGTATTTTCTTCTTTGTGTCCTGTTTTCTTACATCTGAGTTCTAGCTCACTTCTAGCTCCAGCCTAATGTGAGGAGCCAGCAACACTGTAAGAAATAATGGGGGGGGGGTTACATCTCCTCTTGTGAGGGCGCATTCCTGCCCCTGTGACTTAATGTGCTGTTCTCAGTACGATGCCTGCCTTAACAAGGATCTATCCACCTAAGTCTTTTTAAATGAGTCCACTCCTTTTTCTTTTCTGTGTGACACATGAAGGTGGGAAATATAACTTTCTAACTGAAAGAATGCTTTTTAAAAATGTCTGACCTTTCTAGAACATTCATAGATTTTATGAAATAGGTGAAATAGGACACATAGCTCTACAAACTGACATTACTTACTTTTGTGATTATTTGACACAAATGAACATTTCCTATAATATTCTTTTTCAGAATATCCAAGAAATGAATGTTTTGGGGAACTCAGAATTAGAGAAAACTATTGAACATTTAACATATATGAATCACCAGGTAATTTATCAAAGGACTTGGGGCATGTTATATTAGGTGAATGACTGTGCCAGTGATGCTTTTACTATACTATATGCTTTTTGAAAACTAATATGCAGTGAGGAGGAGTGTGTGCTCTGACACTAGGTACTTGGTTCAAATCTGGAACCTGTGTAAACCAGTTTCTTGGCTCTTCTGTCTTCTAGTGATTTTCATTTATGACATAGGACTAGTAAATCTGTTTCTCGGGCTTTCTGTGAAAATGTAATGAATGAACAACACGCATGCCACACTAAAGAGTCCTGAAATATTACAGGCATCGGTAGTGGCTAGCTGTGATTATTGTGGTTTGGTATAATATATGTAATTACAAGATACAGACTAAAAATTGAACCTCACTGTTAATTTTCTTTATAATTAGCCCTCAGTACCTGCAGGATATTACTTTCCAGGACTTCCTCAGATACTTAAGTCGGAAGAGTCTCACTTTTTTTTGTATAAAATGCCATAATATTGCATATAACCTATATATCCTCTCATACTTTTTAAATCACATTTAGATTTTTTACAGTACTTTAACTATATAATGCCTTATACATTGTATATGTTGTATAAAGAGTTGGTATGTTGTCTAGGAAATAATGATAGAAAAATATTTAATGTTCAGTATAGGTGCAATCATTCTGTACTAACTAGATAGTATACATTTTCTACAGTTGTCTACTCTGAAATTCCAGAATTTATATGGAAACAAAGAGCCATAAGTCACATAGAAGTTTAAGAACATTGATACTGGGTTTTTAGGGCCATTATATTAAACCAAATATAACAAACCCACATAAAGGAACCTGGCATACAGTAACCCAGATCAGTGAGTAAAGAGTGATTATTGAGTAGTCTTTCCTGAAGAATAAGAAATTGGCTTCTGCCTGAAATAGACCATACCTAGAAATCCTTTTAAGATTATTTACAGCTAGCTAGTCAAGCATGAGGTTCACACAATGTCTGCTGCCAATTTGAGCAGTAACCAGGCCTACTTGGACCATGACTGCAGCAGCCACTGAGAAACAGGGAAGCACTCAGTCCCTTCCTCAAAACCTAGTCTTTCATGGGTTTATACTTGTGTACCAGAGGTGATCATGAGCCAGCCAAACTCTCAGGACTTCTTATCCTGTTACAAAGTTTGTGACATCTTTTTAGTGTGGCTACTTTCTTCACCAGCCATCTTTTAGTGAAGATACTGACCACCTCATCTGCTGTGTGTCTGTATTGTGTGTATCTGTTACCATGCTTCACTGGAGTGGTGGTGACAGGCGATAGGTCCCACAAAGCCTAAAGTATTTATTTGAATGAATATGTGATTATAAAGCATACAGTAGAGTGCTGCTGAACAGAAATATGATGAAAATTACAAGCATCAACTTGTATGACTGGTACAAATGCATGTTGTTCTAAAACAGTGAGTTGCAGAAGAAGGCATGTAGTTTGAGTCTACTCATGTAAAGTTCAGGAACAAGCGAAGCTAAGCAGTACATGGCTTAGGAAGGAATGCCACTGTGCCGCACTGACGAGAAGCAAGATACTTGGTGCTGTGGTGCATGCCTGCAGACTGAGCATGTGGGAGGCTGAGGTGGGGGATCATTTGAGTGTAGGAGTTCAAGGACAGCCTGTGGACCATAGCAAGATCCCATCTGAAAAAAACAAACAAACAAACAAACAAACCAGAAAAGAAAGAAGATTCAGAAAAGAAAGGGCATGACTAAGGCTTGCCCGTGGAGGGTCAGATAATATTTTTTAAGCCACATAAGAGATACTCTTTTTGTTTTATGATTTTTCATATTGTATATACTCTTACATGGAAACTAGGTGTATGTGCTTGTCCAGTTAATTACAGTGGTTATATTGTTTATCTTAGTTATGGTAAATTGTTTTGCAGTCTTTCACTCCCAGTTTGTCTTTCTGTTGTTTCTTTTCTTCTAGAAGAATTTTAGCATAAAGTGTAAGGTACCATCCTTTTCAAAAAGCAATTCAGTTAAAAATTGCTCTTATTGGCATTTCACTGAATTTTAACATCGTGAAGTTTTTTAACATTTAAAGTATGGTCCTACCCAGAGAAGCGTGGCAGTCTCCATTCCAGGAAAACTTTCACTTTGTTTCCCACATAAATCTCACCCGTTTTGTGGCTGCATTCCTTTCAGCTCTCAGTTTTGTATAATTCCTGTCTACTTATTGCAGGTTTGGATTGGAGTAGGGCAGTCTATTGGTTCTAAAAGCTGGAAATGAACCCTGGGGGTGTTTTGGGGGAGTTAGGAAGTTTCTTTGGTTTTTCATCCTTCTTACAATCTCCCTTCCTGTTTCATTGCTGTCACTTGTGTTTTCCTGTCTTCATTCATTGTAATAATAGTCAGGAAAGGCAAGTGGATACACCCAACTTGACATCTCAATCTTAAGAGTGCAGATGATGTTCAGTGTTTGAAAAATCTAATATATTTCCATAATTGTCTTCCAGAAATATTATTAAAGAGTAACTATGAAAATTAAGGCATTGCCACATATATATATATGCTTATTAATGTTTTAAATTTAAATTATAGCTTGAAAATGAAAAATTTGAATTGCAATCTAAAATATTAATAATGAAAGAAACAGTAGAGTCATTAGAGAACAAATCAAAACTCCAAGCTCAGAAGCTTAGCCACGTTACTGGTGACTCATCCCATCAGAAAACCGAGATGAACTCCCTTAGGTAAGTCTGTTAAAGATTTTGTTAGTTCACCTCTGGACATGCTTCTTCTGGTTATGCAATTCATAACCATGACATTCTGCTTTGTGTCTTTGAACAGTGGTTTCCCAAGTTGTCCTCATAGCTCGGTCTTCCTGGAGCCTTTAGGAAGGATAGAGGGAGGTCTAACAGTCTGACTTAATGAGTGTGTCTGGAGAGAGCTGGGTGTCCATAGTTCTGAAACTTTTACAAGTTGATGTGATCTCCAGAAGTTCTTGACACCTTAGTAAATAATCGAGATGTTGTGTTCTATAGGGAAGGGCTGCTGGCTAGGTTCTTAGAACCTCCTCTACATGGGCCATTTCCTTCTTTTTCTTGCCTCTTTTAAAATACTAGAAATTCCAAATGCTTTATGTCTTTTTTAACCCTTTCTGAAAATGAAAATGAAAAATTAGCCAAGGTGGAGGAAAGCTAACTTTGATAGCACATAGAGCATGAATTTGGAATCTTAGAGACAAGCAATAAGCAACAAAGGTCATGAGTCAGGCTTGAGGCAGTGGCAATGAACTTTGAGGGTAAAAGGCAAATTTAAGAAAAGTTTCTTTAATAAAATCAAACGGTGGCGTATATGGGAATCCATAATGTATATGTTGGTTAGCCATTTGTCAGTTTCAAGTACATAAAACGTAAAGAAACAAAGCTAACATTGTTTAAAAAAAAGCTAGCATTGTTAGCCCCTCCCCCATTATAAAGCTACCACAATTATTCACAAATAAATAATTAAATAGATAAAGATAGCAAAAGGTAACTGAAGGTTAGGAGAAAGGCTCTGCTCTGAAAAGTTGGAGAATCTCTTTGTCTTAGTTATATCTACCCTAAAAAGTAGGAAGAAATTTTCAAGTGTCAACAAAATTTTCATCTATGAAACTCAGTAAAGCAGTAACTGCAATCAGAAGAGGTTAGTAGACGTGATGATTTTAAAAAGACTGATTAAATTACCATGGAAAGGTTATTGAGCAGTAACTAGATTGGTTACTGTAGAAAATTGAGTTGGCAAGATGATGAGTTCAAGAATTTCACCTACAATTCAGAAAGACAAAAAGAGATGAGAATAAAACAGACCCTGTATACAAAACCAGGAGTCTCAATAAGATAGTAGAAGACTAGAAAGAGATTATCTCTAAGAACAATGTGTCTTTGACATTCTATTGGTAAGCTATCAGGTCTAAATTCAGCACTAAACCCAATACAAACCACAAATAAAACCTTTAGAGAAAAGTGGAAGTACATTTCCCAAACCTTGTGCCGTTTTCAATGTAATTTGTAGATTGCTCCTTTAATCATATGGTGTCCAATACCAGAAGCTCATTCTCAGGTAGATGAGGTACATGCTCCTTTGTACCTCCTGGGCCGTCTTCTCTTCCCTTTCTGTATTAAGAATTGTCTTGCCAAATTTCTGTGCTTTCAAACAGGCCTCCTGGATCAGGCACAACTCTCACTGTAGAAATAACGGGTTTTTGGTCTGGTTTCTGGTGTAGCATCAGAAGGCAGTATTAAAACTGTAGTTTTGAAAATGTTAATGATGCCTGTGTCTTGTACTGCAGTATTTAATGGTCTAGCAGTTTATAGCCTATCCCTAACCTCGTCAGTATAATAAGTAAATGTCTGTGTGCTGGGATGGTGGCAGCTGATGCCTCCACATACTATCCAGAGTCAAGGTCAGCAAACTTGCTGTCAGTGTTCAGTATTTTAAACCATGTGGCCCATTCAGTTTCTTCTCACCTTTAAAAACCAGCTTCAGACATGCAATAGTCATCGTAAGTCACATGTAAGTAAATGAGCATGGTTCTGTTCCAATACAGTTTTATTTGGATTTCATTTAATTTTCATGTCACAAAATGTTTTCCTGTGGAAATTTTTTTCACTTACTTTGCAGTTAGAAAGAAACGAGCAATAGGCGATGGCTTGTCAACCCTTGCTCAAGGATACGCTATTTTCTAGCCCAATTAGACAACTCTCTTTTCTACAGCACTCCATAGCAGACATCCTTAATCTTTGTAACTGTTGACAGTGACCCAGCTGAAAGTTATCATATTGTTCTCAAGTCACTTTAATTTATTTTGTGGGTTTTCACTGTCGCCCAGACTTGACCTCAAGTCAGTGCTCCTCCCACCTAACGTAGAATCCTGTGCTCAAGTGCTCCTCCCACTTAACTAATCTAGAATCCTGGAACCATAAGCCTTCAGCTACCTTAGCCTTCAGTACATCAGTTAAAGTCAGGAGTGTCACATGTTTATCTATGATGGGAAACATGCTATAGCAGAGTTTCCTGGAAATGACCCATGAACTCTAGGTGGATCTATTGATTATGCCAATAGGGCAGTTGTTTTACTGAGATTTGTTTAAGTATATTCAGAAATATGCAGATCTACTAAAATGTTAGAGAGATTCAGAAACATTAGATGTATTCAGCTATATACAGCTAGTTTCTCTGAGAAATGTTTGCTAAGGAATTAGGAATCATTTTAGACAAGGGAAAGAAGATTCATAGGCTGTGCCAGATGCCGAAACTGTCTTTAGGGCATACCTACTGCATTTTCTTAGCACTGAGAACAAGAGTGTTGCTACTGAATGGCAACAGCTGAGCTTGTGAAACTAATGCTAAAATTGTTCCATCCTTCTTCCTTTTCTGATGTACCATGTGATACTATTCACAGCCTTCATAATGGGTTGGAACCTTGGGCTCATAGGAGAGTCTCCAAAAAAGCTCACCAATAGCATTCCTGTAATAGGGCCATTGGATTTCCAAACATACCTCTCTTAGATGGAACTTTATTTTAGAATTTAAAGCATTTATTATGGATGAAGGAACCTTTAAGAGATGTTTTAGATATACTCTGTCATGAAATGAAATAACTAATTTTGTCCCATAAACTGAGAGTGCAGAACATAATCAGTGTAATGGAACTTTGAATTTGAGGCTGAGAGGAGATTGGAGCCAGACACGGGTCTGTTAGATGGAGAGACAGAATGAAGTTCAATTTTACTGCTTTTTTTTTTTTTTTTTTTTTTTTGCTGCTGGGTAATCATTTCTTTCCTCTGTCTCTGTAACTTTTAAAGCTAACTGGTTCATTTTTACTGGCAACTTGGTTTGCAGAGTCTCTGTTTGAATTTACAGTGAGTAAAATGGCAGTCATTAGCTCTTCTGGTGAGTGTCCTCTTGGTTTCCCTTAGGAAGACTCTGTGCAGCTTTGTTTCAGTGAGAAGTTTGTGTTGTCCCTTTCTTCTCTACACTGGAACAGAAAGGCCAAAGCCTTTTTCTAGGACTCACCTAGGAGCTTCCTTTATATTTCTAACAGTCGTGATATTATCCCAGCTGCCTCTATCAGCTCCTGTCCTGTGAGAAAATCACCTGTTTATAAAGTTACACTCAAAGGGCACATTAGCTCTGCCTAGAGTTGTAAGCACTGCTGACCGCTTGCTCTTCAGCAAGGCTTCTGTGGGCCATTCTATTTTCCTGTCCTCTTAGGAGATATTGGTCTCTGCATTCTGAGCAGAAAGCAATATGAGGCAGCCTAGCATTGTGCTTTTGCCTTTGCCCTGGTAGTTTTGTGACCTTGGACAGTAAATTATTTCTGTAAACTTGGGATAATAGTTCCAATGGAACTCTCCTCCAAGAACAAATGAACTGATAAGTATATCGTACCTCCCCTTATGCTGTCCCCGCACACAATGGCTCTAGGTTTTGGGACCAGCCATGTGAACTGCAGAAACTTCTCATGTAAAATTGCCTGAAGCTGATGTCTTTCTTGCTTGGTTTGGTTCAGTTGTATAGTTCTGAAGAAGTCAGTCGAGCTTAATTGTCCTTCTTGCCTCTCAGTCATCATTGTTCACTTGCTGTGAGAACGCCTAGGGTTAATGTTTGTTTCAGAACACCCCAGCATTGCTATAAAACTTCCTTATTTCTATAGAAATGTCCCATTTTACTCATTGTTTTGGAAAGCAGACCTCTTCCTCATTAGGCATTTCTAAGTCAAGTGCTTCTAAGCAAGTATAGCTTCTTCAATGTCTTGTCCTTTAGGAAGCTGTTGCTAGCCAACGGCCTGAGGTGAGAATGGTCTTTCCAACCAAGCTGGGCCATTTGGCAGCCTGTGAGTGACTGCCAAGACTTGTGTTACAGCTTCTGGAATGCTCCTTCTGAAGGAACGTTTACTTCCCTCTAGTAACAGACTCTAGAGACTCTTCACCAGGACTGCCTAGCTTCCGTGAATCCTTTCCCTGTCCCCCAAAGCCAGCCTTTGGTGTGACCCCATTGCACTGTAAGAAATGCCCGCCTTCTCAGCATACTCTGACCTACAGCCACCTGCCACTCAAAGTCAAAAGGAGCAAAGTTACAAGCTCTCATGGTCAGGATGGTGAAGACTTATGGAGAGTCTGGAGTGTCCAACCATGCTATAAAGACAGAGCTTTCGCTTTGCCTCCACTATTAGAAATAGATTTTGAGGAAAAGGGGGTTGATGTTAGGAAACTAAGGAGAACTTTAAAACTACCAAGAAACTTCTAGAAGAGAATATACAATTAATTTCATTTTTATACCATATTATTTTTAGGAAGAGGGAATCCTTTTGGAGAAGAATGGTGGACAGCAAGATTAATATTGTATAATAGAATGCCATTGATTATACTGGAAGAGCTTTATAATAATAAAAGAAACTTAAATAAATGAAAATATTTTAAGCGCACTCATTTAACAATCTATTTCTGTGAGAGATAAAGAATACTATTTGTTTTTGTCCACCGATTTAGGATAGTAAATGAACAACTACAGCGGTCACTTGATGACTGTCAGCACCGGCTTTCCATAAAAAGAGGTGAACTTGAATCAGCCCAAGAAGAAATTAAAATTCTGGAGGAAAAACTAGGTGAGCCTTCTTGAAATTTTGCTTTTGCTAACCTTAATTGCCTCCGTCTAACAAACGTTCCTCTCTCTGTGTAGAGAAACTAAGCTGTAAGATGACATCACAGAGCGAAGAAGTTCACGCGATGAAGAAGACCATTGGCGTGATTGACAAGGAAAAGGACTTTCTCCAGGAGACTGTCGATGAGAAGACAGAAAAGATCGCCAACCTGCAGGAAAGCCTAGCTAGTAAAGTATGTATCTGTCACACATTCTCCGGCATCTCAGCACAAGAGATGGTTATTCTCCACTTGAAACATGGAGCTCTTGTAGCCCATGAAGAATTTCTGAGACCTATGGCTGTCTTTGAAAGATCTAAATTTCCTTCTAGCTAGTAATTGGAATCTCTAAGATGGGAATCTGATACATTTCTAGAATGTGGTTTTTGTCTCATTAAGGAACACTTTAAAGAAACTACTTCAGTTCTTAGGTGGGTAGGAACATGCTCAGATGAGACATACAGATGGATATAGAAGTATGCTCACTTAGTGCTTGCTTTATGTATGATTTATGTAATTGAGGTGTACATTTAACAACCTACTATCTAAATGTAGTAGATGATGCAAATTTAGCTAAGGATGATTCTGTATGAATGACTTAGAATCTTTATGTTTCTATAATTTCTTCAGGAGAAAGCTATTGCCCAGGTGAAGGCCACAGTCACAGAGTATGAAACGTCTTTGAAGTAAGTAATCAGTGAAAGGGCACTCCGTGTTTGAAAACTGTTCAGAGAATGAGGTCTTACCTAGGTAGCAGTCTGGCAAGAGGAAACTGTCTCCTGTAAAGTCTCAATCCCCTGCTCCGACTTGCTCTCTGCCTCTGTTGTATTCCATTACCTGTGCTTTTATCTACTTGATCTTTGTGTTTATGTAGTCGTCTGATCAGGTCCTCGTCATGTCATCCTAGATTTCACTGATAGCCAGCTTTTGTACTTGTTCTTCAATTAAACCTATGCTGAGCACTCTACAAATTTTACATTTTGTGTCTGGTCTCCAGAAAGAATTTAAGCCATCTAAAAATGAAAGTTATTAGTTATATTTATTTGACATGCCTTTATGTTTTATATAATAATGGAAATATAAACACTAACTATTTAATGTAGTTTTATATTATATTTTGTTCCTAACAGTTTAAAATGTTATGTTTGCTTTACTTGTGGAATAGTAATATTTATTTTGTGGCTTATTTGCATATAACGATTGATAGGAATCTAAAGTACCTGAGCATTTTTAATAAGTGTCCAAAGGCAGCAGGAGTGCTCTCGGTACTCATACTCTTACTGAGACTTCTATAGTCTTATTTTCAGTAAACTAGAGTTTTCCGTAACACTTTATTCTTGCCACACCACTCCTCCACAGCCAGCTAAAGGACACCTTGGCTAATCGAGACCGAGAGATAAGCAGCCTCCGCCGCCAGCTGGATGAGGCTCACAAGGAGCTTGATGATGTTGGGAAGTCTAGAGAGATCTCCTTTAAGGAAAACAGGAGGCTACAAGATGACCTGGCCACGATGGCAAGGGAAAACCAGGTGTGGCACCAGGGAGAGATTTTTGTGGGACTTACTTGTTTGCTGAGTATTAGACTCCTGAGAATGGAAGCGTTGTAGCTCCCTGAGAGGAACGGTGGCTGTCGAGAGTTAGCGAGAATAGTTTTAGAATGCAGCTGTCACAGGTCACCTAATCAGCGCAGCTATAGTCTCCTCCATTTGGAGTTGAACTTTTTTCACACAGGGGTTTTTGTTGTGGTTTTTTGTTTGTTTGTTTGGTTTGGTTTTTGACACAGGGTCACATATAGCCCAGGTGGGCCTTGAACTCCCTATGTAGCCAAGGCTGGTCCTGATCCTCTTCTTTGGCCTCCCAAATGTGAGAATAACAGATATGTGTCACCAGGCCTGATACCATTTGGTTTGTGTTGCTAGGGAGCATAGCCTTCTCTGTGATAGAAGATATTGTCACAGCATTGGGTGAGGACAGCAACATCACACTTAGGGCAACTTTTCTCCATTTACAAAGGACCATGACAGGTTTTAATAGTTTGCCCTTACTTCCATTGTCTTAGAGATGCATCTGTAGTTAAGTAAAAGGATATTTTAAATGACAGACATCATAAGGTGGTAGTTTTGTTTGTACTAGTGTATTACAGGATTATGCTCTGAAGACCAATGATTTTTCTTATGTTTAGAAAATTACTTTTAGTATTATTCAATATCAGTCATATAGTAGATAATGTCAACTACTGACCATAACTGGCCCTGATATAAAATCAAATGCAGGGACAAGACTGTCATGAGAGCTTTGTGGGGAAGTTTGCTAAAAAGTCCAGGTCAGGGATGGGGAGATGGCCCGGTGGGGAAGAGTGTTCGCTGTGAAATGGAAGTAAGAGGTTCTGAGTGCAAATGTGCTGCACCCGCACAAAAACCTGGCTGTCTGCCTGTCACTCCAGAGTTGGGGGCATAGACGAGCAGATCGCAGGAGCTTGCTGAAAGACCTCTCTTGAGAGAATAGGGGAGAATGGTAAAGAAAGACACCTGGCGTTATCCTCTGCTTTCTGTCTGTGCACATGAGCTTGCACACACACACACACACTCACACTCACTCACACACACTCACTTACACACATACACACACACACACACACACACACACACATACACCAAGATCACTCAGAGACATATGTGAAAATGACACAGTAGGATGTGTTTGACATGACCAAAGCTTGATACTGGCTCTTTTTGTGTGGCTGACTTACAGGAAATCTCATTGGAGCTGGAAGCCGCAATACAAGAGAAAGAAGAGATGAAGAGCAGGGTTCACAAGTACATCACTGAGGTGTCACGGTGGGAGAGCCTCATGGCTGCAAAGGTGAAAAACAGTGTTGGCTTGCGTTTGAGACTGGCTTTAATTCTGCCTCCAGGATTAGATATTGGACATTTGAGATTCGATATTATATGTTAGACGTTTGAGAGTAGAGGTCTTTCCTACTAACTTTATATTTCACCCCATGGATCTTAGTGTAGTGCCTGTACACATATCGATGTTTCCTAAGTTCAAGCAGTTCCGTGTGTACGTGTGCGTGTGTGTGTATGTCTGTCTGTCGTGTGTCTGTGTGTCTCTGTGTGCGTGTGTCTGTCTGTGTGTCTCTGTCTGTCTGTATCTGTGTGTGTTTGTGTATGTGTTTATGATATAGGCATTCCACTGACAGTACGGACTTAGAAGTAATGTAATTGTTCTTAAACCAGGAAAATGAAAATAAAGACTTACTAGACAGATTCCAGATGCTTCACAACCGTGCTGAGGACTGGGAGATCAAAGCCCAGCAAGCAGAAGGGGAGAGCAGCTCGGTCCGCCTGGAGCTGCTGTCCATTGACACGGAGAGGAGACACCTGCGAGAGCGAGTGGAGCTCCTAGAGAAGGAGATCCAGGAGGTAATGCTCCACTGTCTGCTGAAGACACCACCCAGTGAATGACGCACTTAGAGGCATGACATGTCCCCGCAGTGTGGGAAGGAAGCCTCATTGTGAGGGAGGGCGAAACAGAACTACCAAGCAAAGGAACAGAACTTAATGGCTTTCAGAGATATTTCCGCATGTCCACATAATACCCTGAGGCAGCCAGCAGAGTGACTAGACAAGCTGAGGTGGAAGCCATGGATCCTGTCAGCCACCTTGGTAGAGACTGACAGCTTTGGTCAAACAGGACAGACATGAAGCGAAGGGGAGAAAGGCTGTTGGGCCTCTGGGATCTTACTAGGCGAAGATGGGTCACTGTGGCTACTTATCTTGGGATGGCTAGTCACTTTTAAGAAAAGGGGAGAATGACATTTTGTTTGTTTTGTTTTTTGAGATAGGACCTCTCTGTAGCTTTGGAGGCTGTCCTGGAACTCACTCTCTAGATCAGGTTGGCCTTGAACTCACAGAGATCCACCTGTCCCTGCCTCCTGCGTGCTGGGATTAAAGGTGTGCATCACCAACACCTGACTGAAATGACTTTTAAGAGTGGCTCAAAAGCCACAGTGGAGCTCCCAAGGGCAAGTCAGAGGCTGGTGGGTTATCCACTGCCATCAGAAGCCAGAGGACATAGGCCCTAGGATTGGGGTTAGAGGTAGTGCCACTCTCCTTGATGATTAAGAAAGTAAAACCATCCTGGGAGGCCCAGGGGACAGAGTATTAGTGTCACAGAAAATTACTCAAGATTTTAAATTGAATAAAAGTTGCCCTGCTTGATTCCAGACTTACGTTGGAGTAGGGCTATGGTTTGCATCTTACAAATCTCCTAAAGACCTGTGGGCTAAGGGCATGGTCACCAGTCTGCGATGTTACTGCAAGGGATTGGAATCTTCCAGAAGTAGAGTGTCACTGAGGAAGTTAGCTCACTGGTATATCTCTGAGGAATTATTAGGACCTTGGTCCTTTCTTAGCCCCCTTTTCCTTTCCTGGATGCAATGGGGTGAGTGGACTTGTTGGCCACGCATTCCTGTCATGATGCACTTACTGCCTCACCACAACCCGGAAGCAATGGGGCCAATGACCACGACAGAAATCTCTAAAACTGAGAGCCTAAAGACAATTTTCCTTCCAGATGCTCCTGCAGTGTTTTGTCACAGTGAGTGGCAGTTGACTGATAAAACCGCTAGCCACCTTCATTCCTCCTCCTCTCCTGTGCAGAATGGAGCCATCTGCTCTGTGTCCAACATACTCTTGTGTTTTGGAAGCATATAACTTGTTTTCTAGTATTAGAGGTTGGGAGACAGAGAAAAATGTTACCCCCATGTAACATTTTTATATCTAATTTAGATGATGCCTAAGTAAGGTGAGAGTTGATGCTATTATTGTGAATGGAGGGCCAGCGAGTTGGTACATAGGATAAAGGACTTGCCACAGCCAGATGGTTTGAGTTTTATCACTAGATCCCACGTGATGGGAACACACAGCCGACCACTGCAAGTTGTTCTTGGTTCTCTATATACACGCCTCCACCCCACAGTCAACACACACTCCAAAAAAATTATAAACCTATAAAATAAGAGAATCTTAGACACAGTGGAGGTGTTTCGTGGTAGAGAAGGACCTAAACTTTGGAGGGCTTCAGATAGAACTAGGATTGCTCAAAAATCACTCTGAATGCCTAACTACTTACAAACGTGACCTTGCTGACAGTGGTGTCTTTGCAGACATGGTTAAGATTAGATTGTGCAGGGCAAGACAGACTGTGATCCGGTTAGCATCCCATGACTCTCTAAGATGAGGAAGATTTGGAACATGGGAAAACACTGTGAAATTGGAGGATGTAGAGATAGCCACAAGCACCACAGAATTGTCTGCTTCAGAGTCTCCAGAAGGAGCTAGCCCTGATAATGTAACGTCTGGGTTTGCAGCGCTGGAGCAATGGCTCAGTAGCTAAGAGCTCTGGCTGCTCTTTCAGAGAACTTGGGTTTGATGTCTGGTAACTCACAGCAATGGGTAACTCCAGTTTTAAGAGGATCTGATCCCTCCTCTGGCGCTCTGTGGGCACTGCATGCACATGGTGTACAGACTGGCAGGCAAAATACTCATAGCACATAAAGTTTTTTTTAAAAAGCCTTTAAAAACAAAAAGGAATAGTGGCTTGCCACCTCCAGATCTGAAGGGGAAATGATGGCATTCAGTGTTATTAGTGACTTTTCTGTTGTGATAAAACACCATGACCAAACGGAACTTAGGGAAGAAAGAGTTTATTTTGGTTTTCAGATTCAGGAGAATCCATAACAGGAGTCAAGGGAGGCCTGGCAGCAGAAGGCTGAAACAGGGAGCTGAGGTCACACCATTAGCCGTGTACAGAAAGCAGAGAGTAAGCAGGGAGTGGGCAAGACTATAAACTCTCAAGGCCCATCATCCCCCCATGGTGTACTGTCTCTAGCAAGCCTCCTTGTCCCAAAATTTTCATAGTCTCCCCAAGAATGCCACCAACTGGGGACCAGGTTCAACTACATGAGCCTATGAGGGTCACCAGATCGAAGCACCACCAGTTTGCAGCAATCTGTAATGGCAGGCCTCCACATTAATAGAACAAATTCTCTATTAAAGGAATGCTTCTCTGCTTTTAGTAGTTTCTCAGGGGCGAGTCCTTCATTTTTTATTCTTTAGTATTGCTAATATTCTAATGTGATATATAAAATTAAGTGATAAGAAATTTAAAGTGGATTATTTTAGGAAAGTTATCAGTATTTCAATTTTTGTTCATTATTTCAAAATCTTGTAAAGTTGGCCAATGAAACTACACTAAATTTAAATATAAATTCAGGTATTTAGTATTAAAATAAACTAGTTTAAAGTTTAGAATTTAAAAGAATATTTGAAAATATATATGTATTAATATAAAATGTTACTATTTTTTGAGAAAATACTATTATAAAAAGGGATAATTATGAAGAAAGACCTTTAAAATCATATTCACACTATCTTAGCATAATTTTCATCTCTGTGTCTTCTAAATGTATACATGAAACATTTATCCATGATTAATAATCAAATGCTCTTCTTTTTGCGCTTTAGCTAGGCCATCTTAAAATAGCACATTACTTCCTGAGAATGTTTTAGCATGTGTAAAACTTGGCGCTTGTGTTTCTGAAGTATGTTTGTGTCTACACAAGTTCCTGAAGCTGTCTTGGAAGGCTTACACGTCAAGTGACCGGATCCCTCTTCTTCATGCTTTGCTTTCTTTACACAGCACATAAATGCACATCATGCTTACGAGTCTCAGATCTCATCAATGGCAAAAGCCATGGCTCGCTTAGAAGAAGAGCTGCGACATATTGAAAATGAGAAGGCAACAGTATTAAGCGATCTGTCATCTCTCCGGGAACTTTGCATTAAACTTGACTCGGGCAAAGACCTCATGACCCAACAGCTGAATTCCAAAAGCCTTGAGCTGGAGAGGGTAGGTGCTGAGAGTGGCGGGCACATTGCTTGTGGAGCCCTTTGGGCTCGCCTTTACTTCATGTCTCCTTCCATGCGTTCCCTGTTGGTTCGCTTATAACTGGATTCGACTACAGTGTCTCTGCCAAGCATAAGGATGACCTGGGATGTAGTTCAGTGGCAGAGTCCAGACCTTCGTGTGCGGTGCTCTGGGTTTGGTCCCAGTGCTGCAAGAAAATAAGAGGGATAAAATTGGGTTTGGAATAGATGGTACTTGACACATTAAGCATTTTTAAACTGTAGACCAGGAACACACATTCTTTTTCTGTCTAAAAGTAAAATTCTATTGAAAGATTAAACTGCTTTTTTTCCTAAGTTGAATTTTTTCTTGATAAAAAAAATCTCAAGGCATTTAAATTATTAATTAACTAAATCATCTTTACTTCCCCATTCCCAAATTGAGACATGACTTTGAACAAGATGGTGTGTGCTCTTACAGGAGTATGTCTTTAAGGGTTACTTGCCAGTCAGTGTACTAAGAAGTAACAATACTTGCTTGATTGTATAGTCCAAGAGTAAGCTACTGCACAGACCAGAGAACCTCATTAGCTGATGGTCCTAGGGGCTAGGGGAGTGTTGGAGGGGTGAAATATGCCTTAAAGCCAAATAGACCCTTAGTGAAAGTAGCAAGGATAACTTTAAAATTGTGATGCTTTTCTTATGACTAAAGAAATGTTTTTAAGTCTTCAACCAGTACTCAAAAATGAAACAATTGATGTCAATCACTATTATATTGTAAGACAAATAATTTTCAAACTAAGCCTAAGTTGTTGCTAAATTTGTTTTTCCTGTAGGCTATAGCAGAATTAGAAAATGTAAAATCAGAATCAGAACTATTAAAAAAACAACTGACAAGTGAGAGGCAGACGATCAAAAGTCTTGAATCGTTGTTAGCTACGAACAGAGATAAAGAGTTTCATTCCCATCTGACCTCCCATGAGAAGGACACGAATATCCAGCTGCTGAAGGAGAAGTTAAACCTCTCAGAAAGCAAGCTGTAAGTGTTGTGAGCAGCCTGTGTGGGGAAGTGCTGACCACAGGGCTCTTCCCCCTCCTGTGGTAGCGAGGACGCTGGAGGGTGACACAAAATCAGGGGAGTGAGAGGGAGGAGGGAGTTCAGGGAAGGACCTGGATGTGAGGAGTGAACAGAGGCTCGGGGCAGGGAGGGGGAGGGGGTGGTCAGGACCAGCTGTGTTGTAGATGGGCAAAAGCTCAGAGCAGGTGACATCTGGCCCTCATCAGTGCTCCTCACCATGGAGGAGGCTGAAGCTGATGTGGCCCTAGGAGAGAAGAGCCCAGACTAGAGAGCATGCAGAAGACCAGCCTTTACGGGGCTTAGGGAGTGGAAAGCAGTGTTCTTCCAGGGCAAGAGGCAGGGAAGAACTGAAGAAGTTGTTTCGCATCTGTGTTCTAGTTCATGCTCTGCTGCATGTGCAGAACGTGCCCCCAGCTCATGACTGACAGGAAACCAAAAGAATGCCGAAGAAGCCCAAATCTGAGAGGGCCACTGGTGAAAAGCCAGGTCCTTGTCTGTTCTTAAGCAGCGCCTCTGTCTGCATTTGCTCTTGACCCTCCAAAAGAGATCGTTCATTTCTATTCCTGAGAGCTTTACCTTTGTTTTTAAGAACAAGCCAGAGCCGAGAAACCTCCATGCTACGTGCTAAAGTGACACAGTTGCAGGCAGATTATGACACTCTGAAAAGGCAGATTTCAAATGAGAGATATGAAAGGTAAGACATTTCTGTTTAACATTAAACAGTATTCCTACATACCTTCTATCCTATTTAAAGAATATTTAATGTGGCTTGCAAATAGCAAGCTTCTTTAGTATCAAGATGTAAAATAAATTTCATGGTGATTCTCCCATAGAGCAAAAGATTCTGTAAGAGACAGAATCCCTGCAGTAAGGAAAATAGTGCTGCTATAGAACTGCTTCTTGGAGCATTCTGCAGGGTGACTGTGAGGTTTAGAGGGGGAGACAGCAAAGGTCCTTGCAAGCCCCCCAAATGCAGTGCATTCAGAAGCTCTGAGTGCACATCATGAGATGATGATGGTGATCGAATCCTCGGAGCAGCTAGTAGGTGTGAGCTCTACACCCAGCATGTGTCTGATCACCCCAGTCTCTTATGTCTACATGATGGGAAGCAGGGACCACATTTGTACATGATAGAGCCACTGTTAAAATACAAGCATGTCTGTTCATCCCCTTAAGTTCTACAATATATTCTCTGCTCCTTAGTCATTTTCATGCATATAGTTCATTTGTTTTATTCTAAAACATTGAGTCCATAAATATTGCAGAGACGAGACCTGCTTTAACAGGTAAACCATGCTGGATGCAGTGGCAAGTACCTGTGTGCCAATATGAAGGAGGGTGAGGCAGAGGGATCAGGAGCTTTAAGGCCAGCCTGGGAGACCAGTGCCAGAAGGAAATGAATTAAAAATCAAAGTCTAATTTGCAGTCAACAGCCAAGTTATATTTCCCTGTTGCTCTTTCTTAGACACCATAGATTTGTTCTCAAGTAGGCTAAAATTGCCTATTAGATCATTTAAAAATTTTTAATCCTCCATTTGTATCAAACTTGAGTGATATGCTGTGGGAAGTATCAGCAGTTTGCTTTGAAATCAGTAGTTATGACTTCAAATAGAAATGAGCTTTATTCCAACAGTAGTATGAAAGCTGTGCTGATTTTGTTTTTGAAATTTGGAAAATAGAGTGCTAAACTGTATATGATTCCTCTCTTAATGATAAGTACACTTTTCTATAATCCCAAGGCCCTCAGTCATGTTCTCTATGGTATAGAGTTAAAATCCATCCCCTTTCCTTACCGCTGGGCCTCAGAGAAACCGTGGGCCTCGAGAACATGTCTTCCCTGCTCTTTACCATCAAACTAAGGGATGCACTCTCATGGACACAATCACCCAACCTCAAGACAAAACATGCTTCTTCTGCGTGGGAAGAGACAGCAGAATAATCTACTTAGTACAGAGCTTAATCCCTCAGAGGCCACAGGACACTAACAGGGCCCTGTATGTTTCTTCGTGTCTCTTGGAGTGAGGGAGAAATCTGGAGAGAGAAAGTCTTCTGGAACTTTCTTTGAGAGGATAATATTGAGAAAAGGAAGGGTTTGAGGAACTGTGCTAGGAAGGAAAGCTGTACTGAGTAACTCAAGAAAAGGCCACGCCAGAGACTGGGGAGCCACAGAGGAGAAGTGGGCACTGGCAGACCCCAGACACCAGGAAGAATGTGTGATGAGAAAGTGGACTGGAGTTGTGTGTAAAGAGAGTTGAGAAGGGGAGGACAGAGGAAGCAGACATCCGAAATGTAGGCTCTGTACTCATCCAGGGACTGCAGTCACAAGCTGGTGACATAAGAATGAGTTGATACATGCATGCACACACGTACTCGAGCATGAATGTAAATAGATTGTGCCAGGCGTGACAGTGCACACCTGTAATCCTCAAACTCAGTAGGCTGAGGCAGGAGGATGGTGAGCTTGAGGCCGGCCTGCCCTATGTAGCAAAATCCTGTCTCAAGAAGCCAATAAGAAATGTGTAACTGCAGGGGCAGAGGCAAGAGCAGAATTGTATTGACTTATTGGAGGGTGATTTCCCCTCAGCTGGAATCAGTAAGGACTTTGTAACCCGCACCCTGGAGACAGCACTGGTGTGAGAACAGGCAGAAGACTTGGCTGTGAGGGTAGAAGGGGAACCAGGAAGGGACAAGTGAAACCGAGGGGCTTATCTCTACCAAATGCCACAGAAGGCGTCCAAAAGACAAGGGAACTGCCTGTTAACTGCCTGTTAACAAAACACTTGAGAAATATTCTTAAATTTATTTTTTAAACCTAGAGCAAAAAAAAAAATAAGCTCTCCCAGAATCACTATGAATACTTTTAGTTTAGCATCTGGTTGTATATTGGTTTTTGTTTTTGCTTGCTTTGATTTGATTTTTGAGACAAGGTCTCTCCTTCTGCCTCTGCCTCCCAAGTGCTGGCTTTATAGGCATGCACCACCCTGACTCACTTACGGGATTTGTATGTTTCCGAGTGTATACTTGGTATCCTACCTTTTTTCTAAATATATTGTCATCATTATACTTTTTTGTTGATGTCCTAATATTGTGACTTGGCTGTAGCACAATTGCTTTGAACAATTTCTTCTAATGCATATTCTTTTAATTAAAATATTTTATATACTCATGAAAAAAAAACCCTGCAAATCAGGACTGGAGAGATGGCCCAATGATTAAGAGCACTGACTGCTTGTCCAAAGGACCCAGTAGCTACATAGTGGCTCAGAGCCATCTGTAACTAACCCTCTTCTGGTCTCCACAGGCACCAGTGTGTTGTGCATAGACAAGCATGCAGGCAAAGAACCCATACACACGAAATAAAAACAAATGATTTTTTTTAATCCTGCAGATTTGGTGAAAGTATATAAGGCTAAGCCAGGCATCCTCTCCACTTGGAGCCCCAGTTTCTTGGAAAGACTGAGGCAGGAAAATCACTTGAGTCTGAGTCTAGGATAGCCTAGGTAACATAGTAAGGCCTCATTTCAAAGGCAAAACAAACTGAAATAAAATAGAGGTAGTAGAAATGCGAATTACATTAGTAGGTGTTATTTAATTGACTAATAACCCAATAGCCACTTTCTGAGGTTTTCTATTAATTTATTTTTTACATTCCAATCCCAGTTCTCCCTCTCTCCTATCCTCCCATTCTCCTCACTCCCCCCTCCTCCCATCTGCTCCACGGAGAGGGTAAGGCCTCCCCTAGGAAGTCTATCCCATCATCTAGTTGAGGCGGGACCAAGGCACCTCTGTATCCCACACCCCTGTGTCTAGGCTGGGCAAGGTATTTCTCCACATAGAATGGACTCTACTAAGTCAGTTTGTGCATTAGAGTTAGATCTTTGACCCACTGCTTCATATATTGTCACACCATTGTCACCTATGTTAAGGGAGTCTAGTTTGGTCTTACGCATGTTCCCCATTTGTCAGAACTGAGTCAGTGATCTCTCACTAGCTCGTGTCAGCTGACTCTGGGTTTCCTCATCATGGTCTTGACTCCTTTGTTCATATTATTGCTCCTCCCTCACTTCAATTGTACTCCGGGAGCTTGTTCTATTGGTTAGTTGTGGATTTCTGCATCTGCTTCCATCTGCTCCTGGAAGAGGGTTCTAGCTTCTCTGGGTTTATGGATTGTAGGCTGGGTATCTTTTGCTTTATGTCTGGTATCCACTTATGAGTGAGTACATACTATATTTGTCTTTCTGGTTTTGGGTTACCTCATTTAGGGTGGTTTTTTTCTAGTTCTGCAAATTCTAGGATGTCTTTGTTTCTTACCGCTGAGTAGTAGTATACTCCATTGTGTAAATAAACCACATTTTCTTTATCCATTCTTCAATTGAGGGACATCTGTTTCCAAGATCTGGCTATTACAAATAATGTTGCTATGCACATAGTTGAGCACATGTCCTTGTGATGTGAATGTGCCTCCTTGGAGTATATGCCCAACAGTGGTATTGCAGGGTCTTGAGGTAGGTTGATCCCTAATTTTCTGAGAAATTGCCATACTGATTTCCAGAGGCTTGTATAAGTTTGCACTCCCACCAGCAATAGAGGAGTGTTCCCCTTTCTCCACATCCTCTCCAGCATAAGCTATCATTGGTGTTTTTGACCTTTGTCACTGTGATCAGTATAAGATGGAATCTCAGAGTGGTTTTCATTTGCATTTTCCTGATGATTAAAGATGTTGAATATTTCCTTAGGTGTCTCTAGGCCATTTGAGATTTTTTAAATTGGAATATTTGGTAGTTTTGATTTCTAGTTTCTTGAGTTCTTTGTGTATTTTGGAGATCAGCCCTCTGTCAGATATGGGGTTGGTGAAGATCTTTTCCCATTCTGTAGGGACACTTTTTTTGACACTTTTGATGGTACTTATGTATAATCTCTTCTGTGGTCTTCACCAACAGAGAGCGAACAATCCAAGAGATGCGCAGACATGGTCTTCCCACATCGCCTCTGAGTTCTACTCTGAGATCTCCTGTACAGTCTCCTGAACATATAAATACATAGTTATCAGGAAGGTATGTATCAGATACCAAGGACAGGCAAAGCTGTTCTGTAGTTGTAAAAATTTTGGAATTACTGTCCATGTGAAGGAAAAAGAGATGGCTCGGGAAGGTGTCCAGGGACTTCCTGGAGCAACAGAGATGTTCTGTGTGTTGGTGGCATGGCAGCTGTTACATGGTGTGTGCGGTTGTAAACATTCATCAACTGAGCATGTGATCCATGCATTTCTCTCTGTCTATTTTACCCAGCTAGAAAGGAAAGGCTTAGGAATGTGGGTCTGTAAAGGAGCACTGGCCCTGCATGCAGGAACCCTTGGTTCATTCTTAGCCCTGTTGAGGAGTTGGAATCAAAGCCATAGGAAATTGCTAGGAAATATGAGATGTCATAGGATGATATTAATCAGGTACAAATTCAGTGTACAGATAACAGCTGGTGGAAGCGGGAAAGACTTAGAGACGGCGGCACAGTGCACGGCTCAGCAGGAATGGCAGGCTGTAGGGGACTAGTGTAGGGTGGCTTTACACAGCGTGTGGACGTGAGGTACGTGCAGGTGTAGACTTCACTCTAACTCAGAAGGGACCCGAGTCTTTCCTGACTGGGGGGTGGATACACAGGATTGAGTGAAGACTTGTCTGTGATGGAGCTCCCTCACAGCTGTGTCTGAGCCACACAGGAAGTGTAGGGACCAGACAGAGAAGGAGCAGTAGGAGTTAGAAAGGCATCTCAGAATGAGTTCAGGAAGCTGTGTTCCCAGTTCTTAGGTGATGGAAGCAGGAAGGTCAGGAGTTCAAGATCATCCTCAGCTGCACAGTGAGTTTGAGGCCAACCTAGGCTATATGAATCTCAGCCTCTGACAGACAAGAAAAGGCACCATATCCGAGGTATGTGACTCAGTGAGATTAAACTGAACACAGCTATCTGACAGGCACCAAGACAAAGAAAACAGGTCCCCCTCTCCCTCCTTGGTTCTAGCTGCAAGCTCTGCTCTCTCTGAAAGCAGCTGTTTTTGTTTGATTTTAGATTTTTGTCAGTGAAATTGTGCATTTCTGGCTTCTTATTCTCAGTGGTGCATTTATGAGACCCAGCCACTGTTCTGAGTGCTGCTGGTGGTTATTATTACTGCACAGTGGAGTGCCCTGATGTAATTACACCATTAGTTTACGCTCTCTGCTTGACAGGCATCTGATAGCTATTAGAACAGTGTCCTGAGTATAGACTTAGGACTGAAATTGCTGAGGTCAGTAATGTGCAAGCTTCCGTAGACGTGAGGATCTGATCCCAAGTAATTGACAATGGGATACCTCTGCTGAGGCGGGCTTGAAGGGATGTATGTACTAATTCCCTGGAAAATAGGACAGAAGCCCAAGTCAGACCCTGGCTTTGACAGATAGTGACTGAGGAGTGCAGACTCACTGACAGAAATGGTTGAGTCAGTTTCTTTAAAATGATGCATTTCTTTGCCTCTTTTAATAGAAGTGCTGTGTGTAGAAGATAATTAGCATTTCCTCGGAGGCACAAAGTCCTCATAACAAACAATGGTTGCTCTGTGTTTCCACAAACTGGGGCCAGTGTTTAGGGTCCCGGATAAGGATGCCTGATTGCTGATTTTTGCCATAATGTTTACATTCTTACAACGTTTACTTTCCTCTTTTCCCTGAGTCACTGCATCCTTACATCTGGTGAGGTACCGGTTATCTCGAGGATGCTTAAGTACCCGTTTCCTTTTGTTACAAAGCCTCAGAACAAGATAACAAACACTTTTCCACACTTGACTCAGATGATTTAGCTCTGCAGGTGGCCAAGTAGGATGTGAAGCCAATAGCCCCTGCCTCTCTACATAAAGTTAAACTTTACAGGAGCATCATCCGTGTGTGCATACTGCCCCAGACAGGACAGACACTTGTCTACACAATCAAAGCTGGTTGTGATATACCCCGTAGCCTATGCATCCAAAGCATCTATTTCCTGGTGTCTCTCATCGGGGAGCCTCTAAAAAACCTCAGCTGTAACCCATGGGGGAGGGGTGTAAAATGACAATTCATTGGTTTTATTTTTAACAGGCTTGACTTTGTAGATTCCCTAAAAAATTTCTGGGGATAGGGACTCAGGGATCTTGGACTTCTTAAGAGCCACTGATTACAGGGCTGGGGACCCACACTGTGGCAGAGTGCACGCCAAGTGTCAGCAAGGCCCTTGACTTGATACTCAGCATCTAAAGTGAGTGTGTATGTGTATGTGATGCGCCAGCCGGTATGTGAACACGCAGAGTCCAGAAGTCAATGCTGGGTGTCTTCCTCTGCTGCCTCCCACCCTGCTTTTCAGGCAGGGTCTCTCACTGGACCCTGAGCTCATCATTCAGTTAGATTGGTTGGCCAGAGAGCCCCTGATACCTGTCTTTCTTTGTGTACCCCTAGCTCTGGGGTTACTTGGGGCCCCTCCTCTTTCACAGCAAGAGCTTGACCTGATAGCCCGCCTCTGCAGAGAGCTCTCCACTTAGCTCCAGTCAGCACTGCCTAGGCTCTGGTATCCACACCCTCGCCAGCACTCACTTCCACCTCCAGACTTGCAACCCTCGCAATCCATGTACATTAGAATCCTTTTACAGCTGTTAACAGATTCACAACTTTTAATTTCATAATAATTGACAATTCTCAGTGTTGCAACATGTTTATTAACCAGTAATCCATTTGTGTAGATGTTTCTGGGTAATGTCGCTAAAACTAATTTTAAAGGATTTCTCCAATGAGCACTCAGAAACAAATTACACACACATGAAATAGTTTCTCAGATTAGTGTCTCTCTAGTAGTAAAAATATATAACCCAATTTTTGCTCTTATTTTCTTTTTATTAACACCATGGGAGATAAGAAAACATGTTCTTCCTATTGCCACACAGTCAACACCAGCCTTTTGGCAAGTAATTCTCCATCACATGCCAACTAGGTGTCCTATAATTTCACTCCATTCTTTAAACTGCTCTGCTTGAAGACATTGTCAAATCCCATTGGGAAGGGGTCAGTCAACAAGGACCCTCCCTTCATCGGGTGCCAAGTACCCCCAGGGGAATGTGTTTCTAACACACCCGCTGTTTAACCTAGGATCCTACAGGTTTTCCTCCCAGGGTTGATTGAATTTGCCAGGGGCTCACACTTTGCTTATGGTTACCTAGTTACTACAAAAGATACCAGTATATTGCCGGACTAATACAAGGTACGAGGAGGTGTGCACGGCTTCCATTCCCTCTCCAAACACAACTTCCACGTGCCCAGCTCTCTGGAAGGCCTCCAGCCCTGGCCCACTTGGGCCTTTACAGAGACTTGAGTACCCAGCATAACAAACTGATACATCATTAGCATTGCTGACTGGGCCTTACCCAATGTCACCTTCCTGGTGAGGCACCCCTCCCCTGAAGTCCTCAGCCATTAGTCCTTGCATCAACATCCCCAGAGTCACTCTTACTGCTCAAATACTTCCTGGGAGCCTTGTGCCAGGTACAAGAGACCAACTATGTAGCTCTTCCTTAATGACACAGGCACATTGAGGGACCCTGGGAGGAAGCAACCTCAAATCACATTTTTTATTGCTTTTGTCTTCATGTGTCCAACACTACTTCACAAAGTAAACTGGTGCTTCTTAAATATGATGAGATTTGGGAAACAAGTTTTTATGAGGGACTAATTTAAAACACTGTTGAATTAAGTTTTTATTAATATATTGAACAACTATATCATTTTCCTCTTCATTCACTTTTCAGATGATGGTTTTCAGGGAGTTCCCACATGGATTTTTATAAGAGCACAAGAGTAATGAAATATTTGAAGTACTTGTTCCTGCGAATCATGAACATTGACACAAATTCTACCTCTGTCAACCTTTATTTAAATCAGTGGATATTTATGTAAAAATGTTTAGTTTAAAAGAGCCCTACATGTATATTTTCATATATGTGAAAAAACAAAATATGTATTAATAATAGTGCTTGATGTGATACGTGTATTTTTATTATTCCCAACTAAAATTACTCCTTAAAATGTGTTTATACTGTGACTTAATTTAATATACTCACACTATGCTTTAATAATGTTTCTTAATGAGCAATAATATAAGCATGTAAATATTCTTCCATTATTTAGATGTGTTTGGTTTTCATACCTGTGTGTAAGCCCATAGCATGATGAACTAAGAGAGTGATCCATTTGATGCTTTTTTCTTGTATAACATCAACCCACGTTTGCTGTCTATCATCCAGGGGATATAGTCTTAATAGCAGAACTCTCTTTTTTTAAATAAAAGAGTTTATTTGAACTTATGATTCCAGAGGGATAGAGTCCATTTGGAAAGTATGACTGCAAGCAGCAGGCATAGCAGTAGGAGCAGGAAACTGAGTGATCACGTCTTTACCACAGCACAAAGCCAAGGGTGAACAGGAAGTAGGGAGAAACTGTGTACTCTGAAAGCCCTTCCCCAGGGACATACTTGCTCCAGTAAGTCTGCTCCTCCTAACCTCCCCAAACAGCAGCACTCCATAGCTGAGGCCAAGTGTTCAAGTATCTCAGCCTGTGGGGTACATTTCTCGTTTAAACCGTCACATTTTGTAAAACCCAAAATTTAAATGATACCATTTCTCTTTTTCCTGAAATGTTTTATTTCTGAACATTCAGACCTACTGGAGATCAGTAAATTCAGCTACTTATTTGAAATTTATTTATATTACCATCAACTTTGAAAAAATATTTTCCAGATGTAGAGCCCTAGCCAATAGAATATTTCTTTCATTGAGCCTTTTTAAAAAGATAACTTTTTTATGTGCCTAGTGGCCTCACTAGCAGAACTCTTGATAAAGTAGTTATTGCTATGTGTAATTAATTGTTGCAATCTGGAAGAACTATGGTTGAAGAGATAACATTTATCTATGATATACCTTATTATTTTGGCTATCATGTGGGCTCTTCACATGATACAATATTTTATTAGAATTAAGTTAAAATATATTTAGAGTTTTGTAAGATAATAAAATGGAAATTTGGGGCATTTTTTTACCTAATTAGATTATTCAGTGTACTAGTCTAAAGTTTCAGAATATGAAAGTATATAATGTAAACATAGAAAAGTAGTTTTATTAACATTCCAATGCCTATTTGTGACCTCTAACCTCGTATAACTCAGCCCAGTCTTTGAGAATAGTGGGAAAACACTGTCCCTAGGGCATGTAAATTGAAAACAGCTTCTTAGAAATTCACTTTCAAGGTTGTAATTTTACAGAACTTAGGTGTATGCAAACATTAAGGAAAGAGCAGAGGTACAAAATAGAATGTAAGATACAAACGCTAATCATGTTTCAACTCTCCACGTTTGAAGAAAATCCTCTTGTCAAACTAGATTTCATTATAATCGAGAAAGAATGTAAAAGTCAGCATAGACAAGTGAAGGATCAACTATGAACGTGTTTTGTTTCCTCTCAGGTTAATAAAGTGGGTTTTTGTGTGCATGTCCCTGGAGATAGGTAGTACTCTGTGCCTTGGATGTTCAGGACGTGCCCTTTGCAATTATGTGTCCATATTTGAGTGTAGGATGACTTACCCCCCACCATCTTTGAGATTTTATTCATTCTATCTCCTTTGAGTAAATTCATGTTTTATAGCCAAAATTCCAAAGGGAATAGCATTTGCAATGTCATTTGGAAAATCTTTTAGTAAATACACATTTAAAAAATATTCATCCACACCTTTTCCCCCAAAACTGCAGCAAGACACACTTTGTTAATGTTCATTTTTAATGTTTCTGTAATTATAAATGTTATGTTCCTAATTGTTATTTTATAACCATCATACTACAGTTTTTTAAACAATTTTAATTTAAAATGCCATGTTCTTTTTATAGCTATTTTTACTTTTGTTTTAAATCATGGAGCTTGACTATAGATTTACCAATAAACATACCAGTCAATTTGCTTTCTCTTTCTTTCCAATGTTTTATAATTTTATATTAGTAATATTCTTAATTGTAAAATTTACTCTAATCAAACTTCGTCATGATGCCAGCCACCATTTTAAGTAACTCATTTGTTTCCAGTTAGTTCAAAATATAAGATTTCAAATCAAAGTTCCTTCTGGGTACCCTGTGAACAAAACACGTTAAGGTGTGTCATAGTTAGTCAATCTCCTCACTGTAAACACTTTATTGACAGTTTCCCTTACTCTGTGCCTCCTGTCCTCCTACCTCGTTGCAATTTGTCACACACCTCATAACCTTCTCCCCTATTTAAAGGTCCTACCACATGGTGTGGTGAGAATTTGTTTATACTATAACAAATAAAGCTTGTCTGAAGACCAGAGTGCAGAGCTGGCTGCACTAGGCAGCTGTAGAGGCCCGGCAGTGGTGGCACACACCTTTAATCCTAGTGATCAGAAGACAGAGGCAGGCAGAGCTCTGGTAGTTCAAGGCCACCCTGGGCTGCATGAAATTGATCCAGTCTAAAAGAGAAACAGAGCTAACACACAAATGCCTTTAATCCTAGCAATAAGGTGGAAACAGGAGTGATGCGGCTGGGCAGAGAGGAATATAAGGCAGGAGGAGACAGGAGCTCAAGGCAGTCTGAAGCAGCAGTCCAGGCAGTCAGTCCAAGGACAGGATCACCACTTTGATCAGAGCTTTGGTAGAGGTAAGAGCTCCCTAATGGTGACCGCTCTGCTTCTCAGATCCTTCAGCTTTCGCCCCCTGATAGCTGACAAGGAGTTTTTCTTACTAAGACCTATTAGAACTTATGCTACAGCATGGCTTACTGTCTTTCTTTCTACCATTAGCTTTATCTAACATCAGTCTTTTTATGTCAGTGTCTTTGGATCTGCACTTTGTACTTCCTGGATGACTTCAAGGAAAACCAACCTACACATGAGCCCCTCACTACAACAAATAAATGAGAATTTCCACGAATAGGGCACAGTCTTGCACTTGACCAGTTTTGCAGAACTAAGTATGAATTACCTCCTGTGGGGAGGGGCTAAAAGATAGGCAGGAAGTGATTGGTTACACCCATAACAGTCATGTTCTTGTTGTATCTGTGGGCTGGTGGAGTAAGACCATCGATGACAATTCTTCCTGCATAGCATTTTTCACCATAGCCCATAGAAAGGCATGTTTTTTCTCATTTTCATTCAGTTCTAGGAATTTTTTCTCTTACCTGTTGACTTTGTGCACATAATTCCTTTGCTGCTGATTTGTAGTGTTATTCCACTGTGATCAGCTGTGATTTATGAGCTTATTTTAATTTCCTGTATCTATTAAGATGTGCTTTGTGTCCTATTATAATGATCTACTTTAGAGAAAGGTCCATGGTTTGATCAGCATCTTCCTGAAGCCTCGGGTTCCTGGACTAGACAGTGATAGGAGTAGAGCCCAGCCTGCTTTTGTAAGCAGCTTCTTCTTCCCTTCCTCCCATCTGAAGCTGAGTAGCTACAACTTTTGTTCTTTCTTTTCTGCTAAAAATATTCAATGTGCTGAAAGGAAATACAAAGAAGCATACTAATTCAATCCAGGAGCTGGAGAGAAGAGTCATCTATATAATGTCAAAAGATGGTGAAATGGAGAAGTTCAGCAGTATAGATGACATGGTAGTTTAAATGTAATCAGCCCCATAAAGTCACAGGGAACGGCACTATTAGGAGATGTGGCCTTGTTGAGGTAGGTATGGCCTCGTTGGAGGAAGTGTGTCACTAAGGGGGTGGGCATTGAGCTCAAGCTTGGTGTGATACACAGTCCATTTCCTGTTACCTTCTGATTAAGATGTAGCCAGCATCACGTCTGCTTGCATGCTGCCATGCTTCCCACCATGATGACAATGGACTGAACCTCTGAAACCTGAAAATGAGCCACCCTCATTAAATGTTTTCCTTATAAGAGTTGTCGTCATCATGGTATCTCTCCACAGCAATTTGTGATTTACCGCATTGGACACTGTAACTAAGATAGATGGAAGTAAAGGCAACAAAACAAAAATTGAGCAAATGAAAAATAAGCAAGTATGACTACATTTAGACCTCTGGGATACAGTCAAAAGACCAAACCTAAGAATCTGAGAATACAAGTAGCTGAGTTAAACAATAAATGCCTGGAGAACCTGTAGTATCTATAAAAATAATAGAAGAAAAAGTATAGGGAATAAATAATATGTCCTGCTTGAATCCTTAGCTAGATTAAAAAGACAAACAGGATACAAATTGGAAAGGAAGAAGTCAAATCCCTATTGGCAAACAAAACAACCCTATCCTTAAAAGTCCCTAAGACTCCAGAGAACTCAGTTCTACGAACACTCAGCAAAAGCAGCCAAACATACAAAATCATGGCTTGTGGTGCTTCTTTTATTATCTGATGAGATTCCTGTCCTACTTTGAAGAGAGATGGAGTGAGCGGGACCCATGAATGCCCAAGTAGCCAAAGTGCCTGAAGGGTCTAGAGGAAATGGAAGGAGTAGCATATGAAAAATGTATAAAGAACTGCAAATATTTAACACCCCAAACCAAAATCATCCATCAATAAATACACTAGTGAATTGAAAGGCAGCTCACAAAAGAAGTATAGATAGCAATCCACACTTGACAAAATGCTCAGCATCCTTAACCATCAAGGAAATTTGAAGTTAACACTGCCCTGAGACTCCCAGTTTGTCCAGGTCAGCACAGCTATCAAGAAAACACTGACAGTGCTGATGAGGAGTGGGAGGAGACGACTCCTTACATACTGCTGGGGGAATGTGGACAGCTACTGTGGACATCAGCATGGAGCTTCTCAAAAAACTAAAATGAGAGAACAACATTGGACCCAACTATACTCCTGGGCATAGTCTGAAGGACCCAGTCATTTTACCACAAAATGTACATGCATGCTTCTGGCTTCACTACTGACAAAAGGCAGGATGCAGAACCAACCTAGATGTCCATTAGCAAATAAGGAAAATGTGGTGCATATATACAATGGCCACAAATAAAAGTGATATCATAGTTGAAAAAGGTTGGGCCAATCTAAAAATAATATTAAACAGAGTGAGACTTGAACAATTTCATGTGCAGAATGTACATTTAAAATGACATTTCTATATAAATATTTGGGGTGTGTGTGTGTGTGTGTGTGTAGGTCAAAAAGCTACAAAGAAAATCCTAAAAAGAAGAATGGATCTAAAAGGAGTTGGGAAAGAAGGAGGGAATAGAGTACATGTAACACAAAGCAGAAAGAGAAATACTAGTGTTTTAAGAAGGGAAGCAGGAAGAATGAGGAAGAGACTGGGAAAGAGAACGAAGCAGGGAGAGGGTAGGATAATAGACCATAACCAAGTATAGTGTGGCATACATATAGATAGATAGGTAGATATAGATATATACATATATACCATAATGAAACTATTACTTTATATATTCACCTAAAATATTTTTTAAATGTTTATGCTGGTAAAAGTAAGAGAGCAAGATGACGGCTTCAGAGGCATATACAAATGTAAAACTCCATCCCAACTATAACTACACATTTTCAATGATACTGCCAGCATTTAAAAGACAGATCACAGGGCTGAGAGTACAGCCCAGGGCAGGCCTCTTGCCTAGCATGTATGAGGTCCTACATTCAATTCCCAATGACAAACACATAACTCAAGACCATTTATTATCTGCAAAGGAAACCTAGGAATCACAGCAAAAAATAATTAAAAGACAAGAATTCTAGCACCTGGGAACTAAAATCTTTTCTAAATTTCCCTTGGATTAAAGAAATCATAAGAGACCAAGCTAGTGGAGTGTGCATAATTCTGTCCCAGCATACAAGAGACTGAGGCAGGAGGATTGTAGTGGGTACAAGGCCAGGATAGTCTACAGTCTCAAAAAACCAAAATATGAACAGAAATCATGAGAGAAATGAAATTGTCCTGGATTTAGAATTAATGGTAATGAGTGATAGAATCATCTGGAGTATAAATGGTATGCCATCAGAAGACACACAACTTCAAATCCTCTAGAAGAAAACTGCTAACATTTACCTCCGTGTTAGAAAAATGCACAGCAACCTCTACTGCCTACTAAAAATCAAGACAGAAAATAGAAAATAATAAAAAAAACACAAAAAGATCAATAAAGCCAAGAATGGATGGAGTGGGTAAGAAAATTTTAAATGCTAAAATTTAGAATAAGAAATATCAAATTCAGGTGGATCCATGTGCGATAAAGACAGTGGGTCTAGGATTTGAGTTTATGAACAAAGTGACCCGTGAGTATCTGGTATGTGGATGCTGGCAGGAAACAAGACTCTTGGGTCAGGGATAAAGGCTCTTATTACTCATGGCACAGTGGGCACCCTAAGCAGCATGTCTGCATTGGTCTCTTTGACTCCCAAGCCCACAAGGCATGTAGGAAGATCCAGATAAATACCAATCATGCAGAGGTTCACATGACAGCTTAGCAACACTGAGCTGTGCAAACCCATCTCTTTCATAGCAGGTGCAAGTAAGCCTGCTCTTTGTAGACAATTCCTCACCCCTTAAGGATGGTTACCACAAACACAAGAGCTGAGATGTGCCTGGGTGAGCATTAGGGAGGGTCTTGCATTTCCAGATCACCCACAAGAATGTGCAGCAATGTTCAAAGTACACAGAAACTCTTTTTCTGGAAGACAAACTACTTCTTGGCCCTCTATTTGGAAGACAAACTTGTAAGTGTGTGTGTGTGTGTGTGTGTGTGTGTGTGTGTGTGTGTGTGTGTGTGTGTGCGTGCACGCTTCATTGTCCACACTGTCTTATATGGCCACCAGAGGCTGGAGCAAACCCATTCAATATTAAAGACTTACCTTAATAGGATTCCCAGAATCAGGCAGGATTGACCTCTGTCATACCTCCCAAAATCCCAGAAACAACTAACGGTTGTGGGGAGAGGTAGTTGATATTGTTGTTATATTATTATATATATTATTATTCACACAATATATAGCCTAAGGTTTCTGCACTTTGGGTAGTGTTGTCAAATAGCTCTAGATCATCATTACATTGTCTGAACAGTGTCTGTCACTGACCAAATTTAGCCTTGTCACCTATACATGATACAACTCAAGTGTGATGGTTAATATTGCCAACATGATGGACTTCAGAATCACCATGGAAACAAACCTCTGGGCGGCTCTGTGAGGGAATTTCTATACAGAGTTAAATGAGGTGACCATCACCCTATATGTGGGCGGTACCATTACATGGGCTGGGGTCCTGGACTGAATAATGAGAGTCAGATGAACCCCAGTATTTACCACTCTGACTGTGGATGTCATGTGACCAGCTGCCCTGGACTCCTGCCGCTGTGCCTTCTCCGTCCTGCTGTGAGCCGATGCCAGGCATTTTATCACAGACACAAGAACAGTAACAGCTCTGCAGTCAGGAGAAGCTGATGAATTTGTATCCAGGTAGAAAAGCATTATGCTAGTTTTGTGTTTACGTGTACAAGATAGAGGCCATGCTGGGAGCCTTCCACTCATAGCATCAGGGGGAGCAGTGGTTGAAGAGCAGTTGTGTCCACATGAGTTTGCTTTGGGGGCCAGAACAGCAGCACGTTGCATGGTGGCAGCAGGCTGGATGGCAAGTCATTGCAGTTTCCTGATTCAGGCCCCACCATGGACTGAGCTAGGAAACATCTGGGAATAAAAAGAGCTTTCACTGCTATTGAGTTGGGTCCCTCAAAGGATACTGACTTGGAACCAAATAGAATACTCAAGGATGGTCCATTCTATCTCAGCACCAAGAAGGTCTGACAGGGAATAAAGCCTCCCTTTGGTGGTCTGTTCCATGAGGCACATCACACATTGCTCTGGAGACCCCTGGCAAACAGGCCTCTGCACATTCCCAGTCGCCAACCACTTCTGCTGGTGAGGCAGTAAGAACAGTACTGAGTAGGGCACTGGGGTTAATACTTCTGACTTGGCAGCCCACAGGACACTGTCTAAACTCAGAGGACAGAGATCTTGACTCACTCACTGGCCACAAATGTTGCATAGTATGTCCCACTGATCTCTCTCTTGCTTTAGGCTGTGTCTGGAGCAATCCCTGATGAGACTTGTGAAATAGAGAAAAGATGTGTAGATGGAGAACTTCTATTAACACTTAGAATGTTATTTTTATTGTAATACACATAAAGTTTGGGTCCTGAGAGAACCTGCAGTCACTGTTTTACTTAACCAGCAACTCCTAAGGATGCTCTAAATAAGACTCCATATACCCACAGAGAAGGGTAGTCCTCAGCACACATCAAGGATATCTCTTTACAACACAGGGAGACTATTACAGAAACCCAACAGATCAAAATGTAGAGATGTGGAGACCAGTCCCAACTGATACATCTACAGATCAACTCCACGCCTAAGACCCAGGAAACATTTTGGAAGAGGGGGCAGAAAAGTCAGAGGAACAGAGAGTTTGCGGTGAGATTTTTAACTCTTAGAACTGTCAGAAGCTACAACCATGAAGTCTTATTAACATGACTGCTAAACATAAGCCATACAAGGATGACACCAATAGCCAATTTTTTTAGTGTACAATTCAATGGCATCAAGCATATTCATGATACTGAACAGCTACCACCACTTCCCATTTCCCGGTCTGTTTCCTTCTTTTTTGTTTGGTTTTGTTTTTTGTTTGTTTGTCTTTAAAGATCTACACTCACTAATGGAACTGACCCAGGGTTTTCTTTCACGTGTGAGAAACAATGTCTTGCTTTTACTTCTAAGTTTTTCTAGAGTTTCGTAGGTTTAGCTCTTACTTTTATACTTAACATGTATTTTGAGCTAATTCTTGTATGACTCTTTTGCATATACTCAGTTGTCATAAGTCATCTTTTGTTAGTATGAACTATGAACCAATATTTAATTTTATTATGACTGGGGACAACAATGATTAATGTTACTGTGTCGAATGCACTGAGACTCAGCAAGGCGATTTAGCTTTTCTATCTGTGGAGGGACATCTTTCCACTTGTGCGACTCAGAAGATCTATTTGAATAATTTGCACCGTGCGGGGGTGATCGGTTCATGCAAGTACACCGGACCTGACTTGGCTTCCCGAGGAGGTGGTGACTGATGGCCTTGGCTTCTCACCCCTTGCAAGGTGCGCCTTGACCCTTGCAAGCCCTCGGTCTGACCATTCCTGCAGCGGAAAGGGTACTGACTGGTACGTCCCGCACGGTGCCCTGGGCTAACTCTTGGTTTCGGGTCAGCGGAGAGGCGGAACGGGGCGCGCCATCCGTGCTAGGCGGGCTACATAGCGGTCCCCGGGCGGGGCGGGCGCGGGTCCGAGCGGCCGAGGCGAGGCGCGGGCGGAGCATGTGACCACGGCGCGCGGGGCTGGGCGCGCAGTGCCGCGCGGTGGCAGCGGCGGGGAGAGCAATGGAGGCCGCGGGCGCCTAAGAGCTGGCCGCGCTGCTGAGGCTGCTGCTGCGGAGGCTCCGCGGGCTGAGACGTTCCCGGGACGCTCGTGGTCCGTCATCGCTCCCACCACCGTGGCGCCCCGTGAAACCGCAGGTGAGCGCCCCTCGGTCGCGGGGACAGACAATAGGCAGCTGGCGACTTCTCCCTGCGGCCGGGCCCGCGCGAGACACCGACCTTGCCCGGGGCGTGGGCTCCGGGGGCCGGCGGAGGTCTCGGGGCGGCGACCCCACGCGCAGCGCGGTCCTTGTCCTCCGGACCTACGCGGAGCGTGCGCGCCCGTGGGTTCCCGCAAGGAACCTGCGGACGGGCTGCACCCCGGGAACTTGCCGAGAGCGTGGGACCCGCTCAGCCCTGCGCCCCTTCCCGCGCCTTGTCCGGTTCACGGGTCCCCCGCGCAGAGCCGGACCTCGGCAGTCCGGAGCTGGGACGCGGACCCGCTTAGCCGAGTCCCCAAGCTGCATTGCTTTGTTTAACCTCTGCCGAACCGATGCACACAAACTCTTGTTGCCCCAGTTCTGATGAGCCACCAGTTTGATGGCAGAGGCGAACAAAGGTTTCCCTCCCAGGGCTGGAGTCCGACACCGCACGCCGCCAGGGCGTGAAATGGGCTCAAATGGGCTCGCCTTATCTTCTCCCATCGCGATGGTTTCCCCGCAGCTATAACCGCCCTTTCTTGCAGAGCTCTGTGGTGGCAAGATTGCACCTCTAACCCGGTGGATGCATGGGTGGGGTATGGCTTTTTAAGAGAACCAGAGTATCAGCCAAGAGCAGACCTTTGAATTTTCTGTGAAATGTTTTCACACGCGAGACATCGCAATGCTTTTCTGAACTGTGGGTTTCAAGGGGGAGTATATTCTAAGACATTGATTCAGTGGAGGGGGAGGGGGAGAAAACCTAGTAACAGTGACCATGTGTTGTGAAATTTTAATATGGTTTTACGAATAATGACTAGGAATCTGGTCTGGCATTGGGTGTAGGGGTGTGTGTGTGTGTGTGTGTGTGTGTGTATGTGTGTGTGTGTGTGAGTGTGTGTGTGGTGGGGAGTGGCTGTGGTGTAAGGGGAGTGGTTAGAATACAAAGGATACGGCAGTTTTACTGAAAGGTTTTAGCAGACACCCCGTGGCAGATGAGCAATTCATTAAGTTGTCAATTAATTCGATGTTTCCCCGTAAAAATTACCTACAGTAGTTGTTGAATTCTATAATAAAATGGCTAACGGTCATTTGGCATTGTTTGTGACTCGGGCATCTGTATACAATGATCAATTTTGAGTAAATTTGAGAGTCAACAAAGAGAGGGCACCTTCACAGCCACCGCCTTTATTACTTGGGGGAAGCCTAGCTCGGTTTTCTTTTCCTTTTTTCCCAAGAGAAAATTGCCTACAAGAAAAAAGAAATTCAAGGGTAGTTTTAAAAAGAAACATGTGAAAATGTGTCTTATGTAGGTTATGTGGTTGCATTATGGGTTATGTTAATTCACTAATGTGTGGGGCAGCAGAGAATTCTGCAACTAACCCATATGTGTATACTTACTATTATTAGTTAAATTTTACTCCCAAGTTTTTGTTAAGAGTCACCTGTAACAATTGAGAAACTTTCACAACTTTGCAGTGTAAGCAGAGTCCTGAATTTGGAGCCAGGATGATAATGGTGCTGACAGGATAGACTCGGGTAATTGATAAGAAAAATGAAATTATATAGTTCTTCATAAACTACAAAGCACCATAATAGTGCCAGTTACTACTGCTTGGTGAAAAAAAGCTGCATTTTAATTTTTTCCTATACAATTTTCTAATGATTAGTTTTTGGACATTTTCATGTATGTTTGTACATGTGTGTGTGCACTCGTGTGCGCATACGTGTGTGCTTGTGCCCACTCACATGTATGCGGCCTGTGGAGGTTAGTGATCAAACCACTAACCTCCATTATTCTCCACCTTGTATTTTTAGACAGGGTCTCTCATTGAATTGAACCTAAAGCACATCAGTTTGGCTGGATTGGCAGGTCAATGCTCCTGTCCCCTAACACCGTCTCAACATACCTGGATTTTACATGTGTACTGTGGATCCAAACTGAGGTCCTCATGCTTGCCCTGCAGGGGCTTTATGAGCTACAATATCTGCCCAGTCCCAGTTGTCCGATTTTGCAGTCTGTATTTCTTTATTCGTGACAGAACCTCAATTTGCCCTGGCTGGCTTTGAACTCATTATGTAGCCAAGAATGGCCTTGAACCTCTGGAATGCTGGGATTGTGGTGTGTGCCTCCACGCTGAGCAGCAGTCCATATATGGCACAGAGTAGTATTCAATAGTTAGTGGTGGAAAGAATAAGCCTAGTGATAAATAAAATGTGTATAATATGCATGCTGGTGCAGCTGGCTTACTTCAGTGAACATTTGCTGAATACCTACTATGTCCAAAGAACTGAAAAGCATTTCCACGTGTAGCTCATGAAAGCATCGTGCCTGCCTTTCACAGTCGTGGTTGACATGCATATTCATGAAGAATGGGGCCTGGCAGGTGAACTCAGTAGGCTTTCCTATAGCTGAATGGGACAGTGGGACATTTCACTTGTTAAATATGCTTATTTCACGGTCTCCTCGGGCAGAGTCAGGGCAGATGTTATCATTCCGATTTGTAGGTAAGGAAATCCAGACACAGTGGGATTAAATGACTTGCCAACTCTTGCCACTAACGCCACAGTGCCAGGGGCAGAAGCGGGATTGCATGCCTGCCACGTTGGCCCCCAAATCACCCCCATACTGTAGTCTATAATTTTATACAAGGAAAAGAGTAAATGGGCCAAGATTTTGAATTGGGGACCGAAGTTGAAACTAGCTGCCCTGCCCCTTGGTTGTGACAAGCAGTTCAAAATTTCGGTTTCCTCCTCTGGAAGATTCCTTCTTCCTGCAGGGATTTTGTGAGGATCAAATGAAATGACATTCACACACCCTTTGTACAATATCAGACACACAAGCGGAACACTCAAGGACAGCTTGTTTTTATTCCCATGATGAGAAGATAAAAGGGTGGCTTTGAATTAAGAATTGCATTGTGTGTTGTTCCCTGATATACAAACCCTGAGTGTGTGTGTGAGTGTGTGTGTGAGTGTGTGTGTGTGAGTGTATGAGTGTGTGTGAGTGTGTGTCTCTCTGTGTGTGTGTATTTTATTATTTTTACATTTTGAGGATTGGGTGTTGGCCCCCGCAGATGCTAGGCAAGCATCCTGTCACTGAGTCATGTCCCCAGTCTGTGGTCTTTTGAAACAGAGTTCCTGTGTAGACTAGTCTTGTCTCAGCCTGTCACCTGCTGGAATTACTGGCACACATCACCATGTCCAGCACCAATGATGCATGTTTGAATTCTTGAAGTAGTGTTTAGATTTCCCATGTGTGTTTTCTATGTGACTTTTAGGATGCTCCTGAGATCCAGCCAGAGATTGGGGTACAATGAAAGGACTAGTGGAGAGGATTATTGGGCGAAGCACATGCAGAAAAAGTCTGCTGTTGCCTCTACACTGCCCTCCAAATCTTAACTTCAGTGGAAATTTGAATATTAAATTACAAATAAAAATATATTCTTGGAGGTAAAGTGCTTGTTCAGTTTGTCTTAGGGAGCCTAGTCCCGTGTCCATGTTGCCTCCCCCCATATGTGTTTCTTAAACAGTTCTTTTCTTGTAATTGCCTTTTTTTTCCGAGACAGGATTTCTCTGTCTGTCTCTGGCTGTCCTGGAACTCGCTCTGTAGACCAGGCTGGCCTCAAACTCATAGAGACCCGCCTGCCTCTGCCTCCCTGAGTGCTGGGACTAAAGGTGTGCGCCACCATCTCCCAGTGTGATGGACTTTCTTGAGTATTTCCATGGTCAAGGGCCCATGCTAAGCAGTGTGTGTCTTATCTAATTTAGTCCTCACAGCAGGAAGCCTTGTGTTTCCATTTGATAACTGAAATTAGGACTCAATGAGGTTTTTATGAGCTTGCCCAAGGTCCCAAAGTTAGTGAGGAATGATGTGGGGTTCAAACTGAGTCCAGCTGAACCCCCAAGCCTGTCCCTACTCTTGACTCCCCCTACTCTTCTGGGGTCCCTTCCCAGTGACTGTTGCAGAATTTTATACCATAAATAAAACCATAAGCTGGGTGGCAACATTTAAAATATACCTAATGTAGCACGTTTTATAGCTTCTTTGGAAAGGACTCATTTGAAATCCATTTTTAACTTAGTTTATAATCACGGAAGCTTGCACAGGAGGCCAGTAATTCATTGTGACTTGGCTAGTCTTTAATGTAAATATTTTGGAGTAGCTTCTCAGGTTTTTGTGATGGAGTCAATTAATTGGTCATTTTTACTGAGTGCTCAAATGTTTAATATATCTTCCGAAGAGACACAAAAATAGCTGTGTAACTATAAAAAGGCCTCATTACAAATGAATGTCAGCTGATGTTAAGGCACAAATGAAGACGTAAGAGCCACAGAGGGTATTTTATAGTGTATTGATTGGTCTCAAAATCACAAGGCAGTAAAAGTATTTAATTTTAGACAGCACATGTAAGAAACTACCATCAACTATTATACATGTATAGTATATTGAATATATACATTTCAATTTTAAACCATTTCTTATGTTTTCAATAATTACTTAATTTTAATATATTTTGTTTCTGGGACTCTCCTGCTATTAACAGTATCGTTAGAAGGTGGCTCAGGGGTGGGGACCTGAGTGATGCCCTGTCCTCCACATAAAAGGCCAGGCATGCTAGCAGGCATTCTGCTCCAGTGCTAGGGTGGAGAGGGGGGAATCCCAAGGGCTTGTTGGCCAGCCAGTCTATCCCAGATGGTGCTCTCTAGATTCGGTGAGGGATGCTAGGCCAGAAAAAAAGGAGAGGCAATTGATAAAGAAATTCTTTATTAAAATATTGCCTTTTTTGAGATAAATTCTCTTTAGTCTAGGTTAGCCTCTAAATCTTGAAACCCTGATCATCCTGCTCCTACCTCTTAGATGCTGGCATTACAAGCATGTGCCCCCCAGTTTTAAATTAAATTGTTTAAAACTTATAATTTTAAAAGATTATCTGCACATTCCAGCGTGTGTGCGTGTGT